AGGAATCATATGTTATGAACGTGCAGCTTAATCTATGCAGGAACATTACGAGATGTTCCCTGAACGTTAAGTGTAACGGAAAACATATTTATTTATTTAACACCAGAGAGAATTGCAAAAATAAGTCCCTTCCAAAAGGTGTTGGAAGTGTAACTGTAAAGTATGTTCTTTTTTCATATATACTGGAAGTACCCTGCAGCAAAAGAATACTGGCAGAATGTATTCAAAATACTAGAAGATACTATTTAAAGGGGGGAAAGCTACCATGCAACCCTAAAAGTGCCACTTGGGGACTTCTCCCTAGACAGTTTTAACCAGAATTAAAAATGTATTTGGTATCAGCCTGATCATTTTTGGCACAATACTGGGAAAACTTTTCCAAGGCCAATAGCTTGGATCTGTAAAGTTCTGTTTATTATGTTAACAAACAAGGTAATGGTAATTAAATTTGGAATGTAAAAAGAAATGCTCAAGAAAAGTTTTAAGAATTGGCAGTCATTTATTGTGTACTGTGTATCAATCAAGCTAGAAGAGCATGCTAAAGAGGAAATTCTGAGGTGTATATGAGATTGCCATTTATTAGGGTCATTTTTGATAAAAAGTCACCTGGTCTTGTGCATTTATGGTATTGTGGGTCAGTTTAAATTTTCTGGTACTGTGACTCTACTCAGTGTTGGTTCTGAATTTCATTTTTAAAAAATTAACGTGCATCTTACTCAGCACATAGACTCATGGAATGTTAGAGTCGGAAGGGACCTTGCAGGTCGACCCCCTGCACTCTGCAGGAGCGTAGTATCCAAGAAAGGAGTTCTCAACTAAAATGGTGTTAAAGATGATGATTTTAAACAAAACGACGTTTTTGAGACTGAGTTCCAGCAAACACGACGACTGTCACTATTTAAGAACAAGAATGCAGACTACAGCTCTTGTGTCTGAAAGGGCACTATCGTGCAAACGAATGTTTGCGTTTTTAGAAAGAGCCGTCCTTCAAGCATCAAAACTGTGGAATGGCCACTTTGCTCTGCTTTTGTAGAGACAGGGCTTTTCCATCTTGCCTCATTTCGAAACCAGCTCACTTCCTTAAAAAACCCCAACCCTTAACAGTTCAACCTTCCCCACCCCCTGACAACCAAGGAGCAAGTCTGTGACATAAATATCCATGACCCACTGCTGCTACTTCATCGCTGCTCCTCCCCAGCTGACTACGCTGTCTTGGAATAAAAGCGCCAGACAGGGCCAAGAAGAACACTGGATATTGGCTGGCTCTCTGCCCTGCAGCCAAGGGAGAGATACCACAACCGGTGGAATGGCACATGTGACATCCGTGCCAGAGAACCCATGTAACACTTCCTTTAAGCCATTCCAGAGCTTCCCATAAAAGGAAGCTTTCTTCGCTGGGGGAGGAATCGGGAGGCTTTGTTTACACTGCCTTAGAAATAGAACACATCTGCGTGAGACAGAAGGAGAATTGGTAAGCTGATCGGAGCCGTGCTGCCGTCGGCAGGTATGGGATTTGTGACAACGCTCTACAGAAAGGGAACAGGAGTGCTAACGAGACCTTCGCCCCGCTACTAGTATGGCGATAGTTTCTCACGCCGTCTTTGGCCTGACACACGGGAACAGAACGTTTGTGTTCAACGTGACTCTAAAAATTAGCCCCTTGTTAGAATGAAGAGGGAAGCATTTCAGACTATTTTTGCCCACGTGTTTTCCCGAATGTAAAAAGGACAATTCTTCTGCCTCACAGAAGATCACCTTCCTTCCCCCCACCTTGCTGGATTTATTATCAAAGCATCATTTCAAGCCCACCGAAGTCTGCAGGAGATTCCCACGTTGGGAGGAAAAGAATACAAGAGGAGGGGGGGGTTGAGGGGGGAGGGAGGAGGGTAGTATCACATCCATGGTAGTGTCCAAACAGTTTCTCCCTACTGCCCAACCCTGCCATGTGAAGATGCGAAATCAACCTTGAATTGTTGCCTGACGCCAGCATACCCCCTCTAGGACAAATAATCTCTTTTCCTGAGAATCCTAAGGCTCTGAGACCCCTTCAGCTACGGCATCCCTCCTGTGGGCCTCTAACAATGTTTCTAAAAGGCAAGACACACTCATTCCCCGTCCAGAAAGCTGCTTTGGGAACCAGATCAGGGCCATTAATAAGACTCAGCCGCTGTTCACGCGAGAACTCCGGGAGGCTCTTTGAGTGGCATCAGTGGAAACTGACCTTCCCACAGGGCAGGCAGAACTTTACTGGACACCAACTTATCAGAGTGGTCAATTCCTTTGGCAAGTCTTTTTCCTTTAAGCGTCTAAAGGATCCAAGTTGAATTTAAGGAAGCCTATGCAGCAGAAGGCAGACCAGTGTAAGCCTCAGGGATGGTCTTCCGTAGTAATCCTAGCTCAGGGTGATCTGGGAGTAAAGTCGCGCTACCGTTGCCATTTTCTCTACATGACCATATCAACCGCAACACAGTGATATTTCGCGGATGCTTCGAGTGCATGCACAAAGCTGCCATTGAGTACACACAGGAGGGGGTAAGAAGGCACTGTCCCTACAGCAAAGTGTTTCATGTGGGACAAATCGCATTTTCAGTCATTATCAGTCCATGCTGGTTTTGCATATCTACTTTTCTTCACGTCTCCGCACCCCAACAACTTCTGGTATCCAGCAATTCTGGACCGAGGTATCTTAAAGACCATCTCTTCCCACATGATGGCCCTGCAAACATCTGCCAGGAAGATGCTCTTGCATTTCACTTTGGCTCAGGAGGTCCAGAACGTGAGGGGAAAATGTTTGGGTTCTTGCTAACACCCCCACCCCACCCCACATCTCTCTAACTCCTCCTCTGTCTGGCTGATTTCCTTCCCAGCTTTTATAAGACTTTTTAAAAGTCTTTGTTAGTGCACAGGGTGTGTGTGTGTGTGCGTGCGCGCGTGCACTGTTTTTCTTATTCTGAGAGGCAACAGTTAGCTGCTTGCCTTACCTTACAAGGTTGTAGTAATTTTTTTAAAACATTAATGTACGGTATTTTGTTAGGCTATTAGGCTAACAGAGCAGGAGGAGGAGGACGAGGAGAAGAGGAAAAGGAGGAGGAGGAGATTGGATTTATACCCTCCCCTTCACTTGGAGTCTCAGAGCTAAGAAGAAGAAGAAGAAGAAGAAGAAGAAGAAGAAGAAGAAGAAGAAGAAGAAGAAGAAGAAGAAGAAGAAGAAGAAGAAGAAGAAGAAGAAGAAGGAAGAAGAGATTTATACCCCGCCCTTCACTACCCAAAGGTGTCTCAGAGCGGCTTACAAACTCCTTTCCCTTCCCCTCCCCACAACAGACACCCTGTGAGGTGGGCGGGGCTGAGAGAGCTCTTGACAGAAACTGCCCTTCTTCAAGAACAGCTCTTATCAGAACTATGGCTTGCCCAAGGTCATCCAGCCAGGTGCAAGTGGACGCGTGGGGAATCAAACCTGGTTCTCCCAGATTAGAATCCGCGCACTTAACCACTACACCAAACCGGCTTACAAACTCCTTTTCCTGTGAGGTCGGTGGGGCTGAGACAGAGCTCTTGACAGAAACTGCTCTTCTTCCAAGGACAGCTCTGACAGAACTGCGGCTTGCCCAAGGTCATCCGGCAGCTGCGAGTGGAGGAGTGGGGAATCGAACCCGGTTCTCCCAGATTAGAGTCCGTGCACTTAACCACTCCACCAAACCGGCTTCTTACCATACATGCCGAAAGGGTGATCTGAAGTCCAAGTTCTGGGGTGGGGTGGGGTGGTCATCATTTCTCTGTACTCCCTGACCTGGACAGCCCCAGCTGGCCCATGTCTGATAGGCTCTCGGAAGCTAGTCAGGGTCTACCCTGGCTCATACCTGGATGGGAGACCACCAAGGAGGTCCAGCGTCACTACGCACAGGGAGGCAACGGCAAACCACCACTGAACCTCTCTTGCCTTGAAAACCCGATGACGGGTCAACCGTAAGTCGCCTGTGCCTGGATGGCACACTTCCCACCGATTCTCTATAGAGGAGCTGCTCACAGCCCTTTTGGTAGAGGAGGACGTCTGCTTGCTCGAGAGCGACTTCCTTCAGAACAGTAGACTGTACTGGTGATCTTTACAGGCATCTCTGGGCCAGGAGAAGGCTTTACTTCAATTTGTCATGGTGCCAATCCATGAAATTGCTGAGTGGTCGGGTTAGAACGGATAAAAGGAAGTACTTCTTCACCCAAAGAGTGATGAACACATGGAATTCACTGCCGCAGGAAGTGGTGGTGGCTACAAGCATGGACGGCTTCAAAAGGGAATTAGATAAGCATATGAAGCAGAGGTCCATCAGTGGCTATTAGCCACAAGGTATAGATAGGGACTCTGGGGCAAGTGATGCTCTGTCTTCTTGGTGCTTGGGGGGGGGGGGACAACAGTGGGAGGGCTTCTAGTGTCCTGGCCCCACTGGTGGACCTCCTGATGGCACCTGGTATTTCTGGCCACTGTGTGACATAGAGTGTTGGACTGGATGGGCCTTTGGCCTGATCCAACATTGGCGTCTCTTATGTTCTTATGTTCTTATGTTACCTATCGACCACGGTGGGAAAACTCAGCTCCCCAAGAAGCGTTCAAATGAGGAGAGTAAGGCAGGTCAAGACAGAAGGGAAACACCTGCCGGTACTTACAGCATATCGGGGCAATTGTCCGGTTTCTCCAGAAGTCCGCCCTCCATCACAAAGCGGAGGACTTGCTCGTTGGACATGCCTTGGTACGGCTGCTCCGCCAGCGTGGCTATTTCCCACAGGACGACGCCAAAAGACCTGTGGGGGGGAAAGCCAGTACGTTAGGAACCGGTTCAAGCCAAAGCCCACCTGCTTCCGCTAACAGAGAACTTCTGTGCACTGCTTGGGACTTCTCCAGCTTGCCGACTGCTGGGCTTTCTGATGGAGCGCTGCGCTACCCTGCGCCCAGGGCTATTTTTGGGGCAGGAACGCGCAGGGACGGAGTTCCGGCTGGCTCCCGAGTTGGCCACGCCCAGCAGGGACTCATTAGCATAACAGGCCACGCCCAACGGCAGAAACACATTAGGATTGGCTACATTCGGGGTGTGTGGCCTAACATGCAAAGGAGTTCCTGCTCCAAAAAAAGGCCCTGGGTTTTGACAACAAACAAGGTAAACAGAATAAGAAGCAAAAGGTGGGTGTGGCTGGATGACCACACTTCTGGTAACATGGGGGTGTGGCCTATTGGGCTAATGAGCTGTGCTGTCAGGGGTGTGGCCTAATAGGCTAATGAGTTCCTGCTGTTGGGTGTGGCCTGTTATGCTAATGAGTTCCTGCTGGGCTTTTTCTACAAAAAGAGCCCTGCCTGCGCCCAAGACAAAGAGCAAAATCAGGCACTACCACACGGGCCCTTTCGCTAGTGCGATGCTTGCATGGGTGACTCTTCTGTGAAAATAGTGCCAATGCCTCCCCCTGCACATGGGGGGGGGGGAGCTGATGCCCCCCTCCTAAAAAATAAACAAAAAACAAAACTACAAATCAGACATGCAAACCCATGAACCCATTTCGACCAGGGTGATGGCTCTTTGGTATTTAGGGAAGCAAGCAAGATCAGACTCCTGGATGAGACCAGGGGGTCCATTTCATCTAGCGTTCTGCTTCCCACAGTTGGCCAGCAAGACAATTCCACGAAGCCCACAAGCAGGCCACAAAGACCGTAACCCTCCAACCACCCTACAAGCCACCGGCATTCCCAGAATACTGGCCCTGAACAGGGAGGCTCTGTTTAACTATTGCAGCCAACAGCCGTATATATACCCACCCCTTTGTGAATCGGTCTGATCCCTTTAAACAAAAAACCTTGTATGTCACCGACCGTCACTGCATGTAGCAGCAGATTTGGTACTCTGATTATGCACTGTATGACGAAGTACCCGCTGTTATGTATGGACACCAGTTCTTCTATTATCTGGAGCAGGGCCATATCAACATTCCCCACACCAACGGTGACTTCACAATCCCCCCCAACACCACCACCAGCCAGCTTTTTCTAAACTAAAAAGCTCTTCCCTCACCGGGACGTCGCCCCAGCTACCCCTTGGATCACACGGATGGGCCCTTCCAGTGCTACAAACTCTCTTATGAGCAAGGCTATTTTTGGGCAGGAACGCACAGGAATGGAGTTCCGGCTGGCTCCTGAGTTGGCCACGCCCAGCAGGAACTCATTAGCATAATAGGCCACACCAAACAGCAGAAATTCATTCGGACTGGCTACATTAGGTGTGTGTGGCCTAACATGCAAAGGAGTTCCTGCTACAAAAAAAGCTCTGGGTTTTGACAACAAACAAGGTAAACAGAATAAGAAGCAAAAGGTGGGTGTGGCTGGATGACCACACTTCTGGTAACATGGGGGTGCGGCCTAATATACTAATGAGCGGTGCTGTCAGGGGTGTGGCCTAATATGCTAATGAGTTTCTGCTATTGGGTGTGGCCTATTATGCTAGAGTTCCTGCTGGGCTTTTTCTACAAAAAGAGCCCTGCTATGAGATGGAACAACCAGAACTGTACAACTACGCCATAGGAACAGACAGCTTTAAAAGGGGATTAGACAGATTCATGGACTATCAGTGGCTGCCTGCCATGGTGATGGAGGGGAACCTCCACAGTCAGAGGCAGTCAGCCACTGAATACCAAGTGCCAAGAGGCCTCCCTTAACGTTATCTGTTACAATCACAGATCAACCAAGATTAAGACACAGAATCCAGCACATCTATGTACAGTAAAATTTCAGAACCACATACTAGGCCAATTCCAACAGTACCAACATAATTAATAAAAAGACTTAGTGAGCTGCTTCCTTGTTAAACATTTTGTTGTTCCGTCGCACAGTCGAGTCCGACTCTTCGCAACCCTATGGACCAGATCACGCCAGGCCTTCCTATCTTTCACCATCCTCTGAAGTTGGCTCAATTTCATGTTCGTTGCATCTATGACACTGTCTAACCATCTCATCCTTTGCCGTCCCCGTCTTCTTTGACCTTCAATCTTTCCCAGCATCAGGGTCTTCTTCTCCAGGGAGTGCTCCCTTCTCATTGGGTGGCCAAAGTATTTGAGCTTCAGTTTCATTATCTGGCCTTCCAGGGAACAGTCAGGGTTGATTTCTTTTAGGATTGACTGATCTGATCTTCTTGCAGTCCAAGGGACTCTCAAGAGTCTTCTCCAGCACCATAGTTCAAAAGAATCTATTCTTCGGCGCTCGGCCTTCCTTATAGTCCACCTCTCGCAGCCATACATGACTACTGGGAATACCATGGCTTTGACCATGTGGACTTTTGTTGGCAGGGTGATGTCTCTACTTTTTATCATGCTGTTTAGGTTCGCCATCGCTTTCCTCCAAAGGAGCAGGCGTCTTTTAATTTCATGGCTGCTGTCACAGTCCGCGGTGATCTGGGATCCCAGGAACGTGAAGTCTGTCACTACTTCCACGACTTCCCCTTCTATTTGCCAAGGAGTGATGGGGCCGGATGCCATGATCTTAGTTTTTTTGATGTTGAGCTTCAAGCCCACTTTTGCGCTCTCCTCTTTTACCCTGAGCAAGAGGCTCGAACACTCCAAGGGGAGGAAACTATAAAAGTTGTCAGGTCTGCCTGGAAAATTTGGTAAGATTGGCGTATGTGCAGAGACCAAATGTCCATATGCAGAGGGCAATATAACAACACATGATCAGCCGTTTCAAATGTGTTGAGGGTGAGGAATATGTGCATGTCTCCATCCCAAAAGAGCTGATGGTAAAAGCATTGAAGTGGACTGGGTTGATGGCTCTTCAGTACTTAGGGAATTATAAAACATATAGATAGCCTGCTGGACCAAAGTTTTTGCCATGGCTGAGTGTCAAAAGAGGTAACCTCAGGGGAAGGCCTCAGCCTCTATGCCCTGCTGTTGGCCCCCCAGAGTAACTGATTTACCACTGGGCAAGACAGAATGCTAGACTAGATGGGCCACTGGTCTGATCAATGAGGGCTCTTCTTATGTTCCCATGTTAGCTGAATTCCAAATGTAGCTGCACCTCAGATTCCTAGACATGCTTTACCATACGGCCTGTATTATTGTTCTTATTATGAATTGTCACAGTCAGATATGTGACTGGTAGATGGTGTTCTGCAATTCAAGATCTAGCCAAGTTCTTGGGAACTGCAGAGGTATCTTCGCAGGATTCTTGCTCTTCCAAGCAACACTGTCTTCTGGAGCTGAGCTGGTGTTATTTGCTCAATGCCCAAAATGTCCAGGTATTTCTTGAATCTTGTAGTCACTACTCCAAGGGCTCCAATGACAACCGGCCCTATACAGAGGTCACTTTCTTCTCCCAGAGGCTCTCTAACTCCATTTATAGGTCTTGGTATTTTGTGCTCTTCTCCTGTTCTTTCTTTTCTATTCCGCTGTCTCCTGGGACTGCTATGTCAATGATCCAAACCCGATTTCTCATTTTTTCTACAACTGTGATGTCAGAAGTGTTATGCTCCAGGTGTTTATCTGTTTGTAATCAGAAGTCCCAAAGAATCTTTGTTTCATCGTTCTCCATGAACTTGTCTGGTTTGTGCTCCCATGAATTGCTGTCTGACGGTAAGCCATAGTTCTTGCAAAGATCCCAGTGCAACGTAGCTGCAGTTCTATCATGAGGTTCTTTTTCATCAGTTTGAGCAATTTTACTGTAGGCCTTGACCATGTGGTCGACTGTTTCATCCTTTGTCTTGCAAAGCTGACATTTGCTGTTATCACTGGTCTTCTGAATCTTGGCTGTCATACCATTCATTTCGAGTGCCTGGTCTTGTGCAGCTAGGAGGAGTCCTTCTCTTTCTTTCAAGTGCCCATTTTGGAGCCCCTTTCAAGAATTTTCACTATCAACTTTGTTCTTTGTGTCTTTCAAATATTGCCCAACAAGCGATCACACAGTGAACAATACAATAACAAGGAAAAAAACTGTGCGGAAAGACGCTAAGAAGAAAAACAGAACAAAGAGAAACAAGCAACTCTTAGGTTCTGTTCAAACTAGAATGATGATTACCTGTTGGAAGACATTATATGCTACCTGTTGGAATAATAAATATGTTTATTATGTCCTTGCCTGCTGGATATACCAACAGTACCTAAGAGTTGCTTGTTTCTCTTTGTTTTGTTTTTGTTCTTAGCGTCTTTCCGCACAGTTTCCCCCCCCCGTTATTGTATCTTTCAAATATTGCCCATACAAGTGCTTTTCCTTACAGTTGTCAAAGTCAGTTCTGATTTCAATCTCTTTGTAATCGTCTTTGGTTTCTGTAACCTTAAATAAGTGTAGATCAAGGCAGCGTAGGAGCTTTCGTGAGTCACTGCTCACTTCTTCAGATACACTTCAACTAGAAGGTTCTCTTTGCTTTTCTTGGTGTAGTCATTCAGTGCACATTTTTCTTCTTCAACTGCCTGCTTAACTTTCAGAAGACCCGGAGACCTCTTCCACCTAATTTTTTGGCAAGTAAAGGTGATCAACATCATTTCTAGAGTGTAGCGAGTGATGCATTGTCACTACTTGTGAGTTTTGTGATCTGTTGCTTCTAATGCTGCTTGTTTCTAATCGATGTATCTTAGAACTGGGACTGCCCATCATAGCAATGCTGATGCACATAAACCAACAAAACCGAACGTTAACACAAGGCTGAGAAAAATGTTGTCGGCAGTGGAGGAAAGGTCTGGCAATTTTAACCCTCAACAGCAAGCCCTCTTTTTAATCTCTGGAATCTGAACAACGGAGCAATCATCCATTGCGAGAAGAGGGACGAGGCACAGAGCAAAAGGCCCAGGGAAATGGAACAGCTCAACATGGGACGCCCCTCAAAAAGGCAAGACCGTTGGAAAGTATGAGAGATGAAAAGTTCAAAGCATTCCGAGCATAGCACTGCCTGGGATGTATGTAGCTCAAGGGGGCGTAAAGCAAACCATATGTTCATTCGCACACCGACACTCCCATCTACAGAATACTGACATGGACTGGAAACCAACAGATGCAGTGGCTTCTTGACGAATGCACCACACCAAAAACAACACTTAGGAAGTCATTTCACATATTACGGGACCACAGGCCTTTTCTGATCTGGAAATAAATTCCTATGTTGGGCAGTGGCGGGGGGAGAAAGCAGCCGATGGAATGGCCCTCAAGGAAGTATTGCTATTGTTTTTTTAAAAAACTGCCTTATGTCAAGGTATGGAGACAAACTAAAACATCCTATTTTCACATGTTTATTCCTCTATGGAGGACTCGCCCCCTCCAAATTACACTGTTGATTTGTAGAAATCCTCTGCACACAAGAGAGTACATGTGATCTTGTTCACATGAGAGCCAGTTTGGTGTAGTGGTTGTGTGCGGACTCTGATCTGGGAGAACCGGGTTTGATTCCCCACTCTTCCACTTGCACCTGGCTGGATGACCTTGGGCAAGCCATAGTTCTGATAAGAGCTGTCCTTGAAAAAGAGCAGTTTCTGTCAAGAGCTCTCTCAGCCCCACCAACCTCACAGGGTGTCTGTTGTGGGGAGGGGAAGGGAAAGGAGTTTGTAAGCCGCTCTGAGACACCTTTGGGTAGTGAAGGGTGGGGGATAAATCCAATCTCTCCTTCTTCTTCTAAAATCCATATGGATTTTTTTCCATTAAAGTTTACTCTTTTTAAAAAAAAAACACGCAATTTAGGGATATGAGCAAAAAACAACATCCCAACCATTACACTGGAATGTTACAGCCCTCTGGCTGAAGTGTGTAATGCACTAATACCTTCCTCCAACATGCATTACAATGTCAGAATCAACCATGACTCCCCTAAGGACTAATCAGAACTAAGGTCTGGATTCAAATCATAACATCTCTGCCAGATTGCTGCTCCCTTGGATGGCCAGATATTTATTTTTAGGCTGTCAAAGGGGGTGGGGGGGAGAGAAGAGATCATCACTGGTCTCCTAAATTAGTCTTTCCAGAAGACACGGCTACAAGCAAGCGATGGGTTCTCCCCCTCCCAGGAATTCTGCAAAGGGAAGCCAAGCAGTTTCCAAAAGATACTGCTCTACCTAAGAAGCAAAACTGCCAAGCCTAGAGTTTCGAAATGCATCTCCAGAGCTGTGGGGAAAACAGCACGGAAACAAAACGATACCGTTCCTCATTTTACAGCTTTAAGTTTGTTACACCGAAGAATTCATCCACGGATTTCTCTTCCCACCACCGCAGATTCCAGTTCTTCCCTCTGCTTCCTTTGCAAAGAGACCTTGCCTGGATTTTATGAATCTGAGCCAACTTAAAAACTGTACAGGTGTTTGCCTAGATTTGCTCTGAGAGTGTTTTTCTTTTTTTCTTTCGGGTTTCACAGATGTTTCACAGAGGAGAGGAAGCAGCTCCCGGAGGGCACGCTAACTTCAAACAGGGACTCCGCAAAAACAGAGTGGAAACAGGAAAAACCAGATGAGGCCGAGGGCTTAAGAGAGGGCAACCGGTTGGCTCTTCCCTGGGCCCTGAAACCTGATTACGGCTCGAAAGCATTTAAAAGCAAGCACGGCTTTAAAAGCACTTTGGCGGTTACCAAACATCTGAATGCGTCGTGAACACGCCATCCTTCAGCGATTCCGGGGACATCCAGCGAACTGGCAGCAGGCCTTTCCCTCCTTTCCGGTAGTAATCCGTTTCGTAGATGTCTCTCGTCATGCCAAAATCTACATTGCACATAAAGGGACACGTGAGCATACTTAACACATCCCAATGGAACATAGTCTAAGAACATAAGAAGAGTCCTGCTGGATCAGCCCGGTGGCCCATCTCCTCCAGTATCCTGTCTCAGTTCCTCTGGACGGCCAACAACAGGGCATTAGCGGCTTACAAACTCCTTTCCCTTCCCCTCCCCACAACAGACACCCTGTGAGGTAGGTGGGGCTGAGAGAGCTCTGACCGAAACTGCCCTTTTTTCAAGGACAGCTGTGCCATTCTACTGCAGAGATTATGGGAGAATCTCTTCTCTGCTGGGCTTGTTATGCTATTTTTCCCACCAATGGAAACACCCAAAGTGGGGATTGGACCCCCTGAGCCCCTGGCCCAATCTTTTTTCAACCTGGGGTTCTTTTGGAGAGAGGCTCCAGCAGCTACACTGCAAATGTGGTGCCTCAAACCCCATCTCCCTGAATATAACCTAGGAGAGATTTGCCATTGACTATAGTTCCCCCATAGGGTATAATGGAGCCAAATATATTTGGTAATTTATTTATTTATTTATTTAATTCAATTTATACCCCGCCCTCCCCGCATATGCGGGCTCAGGGCGGCTTACAAGAGGCCTACGCCAATATAAAACATATAAAACCATATAAAATCAATTCAATACAATAACATTATACTAAACAAAGGGCTCTGGCGTTCTCCTATGATATTCCGCAGATGGTATACGATTTCTCTACTACTCAGCTGCTTTTTCCAGCACTGCAATCTCCTTTTTGAGATACAGTGACCAGAACTGTGCACGGCGTTCCATATGAGGCCGCACCATAGATCTATACGGGGGCATTACAGTATCCGCCATTTTATTCTCATCCCCTTTTCTAATAATCTCTAACATAGAGTTTACCGTTTCTACTGCTGCAGTACACTGGGTTGCAGCTTTCATAGAGCTCTCCACCATGACCCTAAGATCTTTTCCCCTCCCAGTCTCAGCAAGTTCAGACCCCGTTAGCTTATAAAATGTAAAGGTTTCCCTTGCTCGAAAGCCAGTCGAATCCAACTCTGGGGTTGCGGGGCTCATCTCCGTTTCCAAGCCGAAGAGCCGGCGCTGTCCGAAGACCTTTACGTCTTCCGTCTAAAATCCCACCAGTAAGACCCAAGCAAATCAGGTTGGACACATCTGTCATGAGGAGGAGGAGGAGATTGGATTTATACCCCGCCCTTCACTCGGGAGTCTCAGAGCGGCTTACAAACTCCTTTCCCTTCCCCTCCCCACACCAGACACCCTGTGAGGCAGGTGGGGCTGAGAGAGCTCTTGACAGAAACGGCTCTGTTCAAGAACAGCTCTGAGAGAACTGTGGCTTGCCCAAGGTCATCCAGCCAGGTGCGAGTGGAGGAGTGGGGAATCAAACCCGGTTCTCCCAGATTAGAGTCTGCACACTTCACCACCACACCGAACTGGCTTTTGGGCACAACACTTCTCCTCCTCTACTTGGGCTATGAATCTGAGCCGACTTAAAAACTGTACAGGTGTATTTTCGGCAGCGCTCCCAGAGGGGGAGGGGCACAGAACCGGGACTCCGGTCCACAAAGAAGACTGGACATTGTGTAGTTCAGTGGGAGGGAGTGTCAGACTAGGATCTGGGTGGGAGGCCGGGGTTCTAATCTCCACTCTGCCATGGAAGCTCCGGCCAGTCGTACTCTTTTAACCTAGCCTACCCCACAAGATTGCTGTTGTGAGGATAAAACGGTGGAGAGGGGAAGGGGGCAAGCTGTTTCGGGTCCCTGTTGGGGAGAAAGACGGGGTATAAATGAAGTAAATAATTAAAAAAAGAATTGTTTTTTTAATATATCCCACTTTTCTCTACCAGAAACAGTCTCAAAGCAGCTTGCCATCGCCTTCCCTTCCTCTCCCCACAACAGGCCCCTTCCGAGGTAGGTGGGGCTGAGACAGTTCCGAGAGAACTGGGACTGGCCCAAGGTCACCCAGCAGGAGAAGGATGGGGGAATCGAACCCATCTCTCCAGATTAGAGTCCGCCGCTCTTAACCACTACACCAAGCTAGCTCTGAACCACTTACGGTTTCTGGAGACTATGCAGAAAAGAGGGGGGCCACACCAAGGCAATACAAGGGTGAGAAGACAAATGGTGCAAAGGAAAGAATGATTCTATAACCCCCATGTGTTTTGCGTGTAAGGTAAAGGTTTCCTTTGCTCGAAAGCCAGTCAAATCCGGCTCTAGGGATGCGGTGCTCATCTACGTTTCAAAGCCGAAGAGTCAGCACTGTCCGAAGACGTTTCCGTGGTCATGTGGCCAGCATGACTAAACACCAAGGTGCACGGAACGCTGTTACCTTCCCACCGAAGTGGTACCTATTTATCTACTTGCAATTCCTTGCTTTCGAACTGCTAGGTTGGCAGGAGCTGGGATCAGAGACGGGAGCTCACTCCGTCATGCGGCACACTCGGGTCTTGAACTGCTGAACTACCAACCTTCCGGTCTGCAGTTCAGCGTCTTCACCACTTGAGCCATCACAGCCTCATACGTTTTTGCGTGTAGCTTTTGCTAAAATGTACGTATGGGAACAGATCTAAAAAGAAGCCGGAAGATCCCCCCTGATGAAGCTGCACGCAAGATGCGTAGGGGTTATACAATCATTAAAGATTCTTTCCTTTACATCATTTGTCGTCTCACCTTCGTCCTGGAAATCGTGCTAGTACCCGACGCACTCTCAAGTACCCTGCCTTTCTCTCTACAGCCACACCAGTTAGAAACCTGCTTTGTTTTTCAAAAAGTTGTCAGGATGCTGGGTTCTGCACGCATCAATCTGTACACTGTGATCACAGCAGCACAAGAAAGGCACAGAACAGAAAAACAACCCACGTCTGCCCATTTCGATCCCTGCGTCTTTAGCACGTTGGGAGACAAAAGAGAGAGAGAGAGAGCACACCTCCAATTTTCACAGTAAAGTCTTCTGCAACCATACAGTTCCTTGCAGCGAGATCTCTGTGGACAAACTTGTTGGCATTCAGATAGGCCATGCCGTCTGCAATCTCGCCTGCCATCTGAATCATCTTCTTCAGGGCCGGAAGGGTCTGTGCGGGGTTGTTCTGGAGGAGGAGACAGCAACAGGAGCACGAGTCGTTCATTTCAGAACATAAGGAGAGCCCTGCTGAGCAGGCCGGTGGCCCATCTAGCCCAGCATCTTGTCTCACACAGTGGCCAACCAGTTTCCTCTGGAGATTGACTGCCTCTGAATGTGGAGGTCCCCTTCGTCACCACGGCTAATAGACCTCTCCTCCATGAATCAGCCTAATCCCCCTTTAAAGCGGATTGAGCCTGTGGCCTTCATTAAGGCCTCTGGTAGCTAATGCCACCTTTTAATCACCCGCTGTGTAAAGACGTATTCCTTTTTGTCTGTCCTGAATCTACTGCCCATCGGTTTTACTGGACGGCCTGGTATTTCAGAAGAGGGAGAAAAGGTTCTCTTTCCAGCTCTTTCCGCCCTGTGCATAATTTCACAAACCTCTATCATAACGCCCCCCCCTTAGTTGTCTCTTTTCTAAACTGAAAAGTCCCAGACTCCTCAGCCTTTCCTGCGCACCAAACCCCATCATCAAATTGGTTGTCCCTTTCTTTAACTGGAGAAGAAGAAGAAGAAGAAGAAGAGGAATTCCCCACAGCAGACACCCTGTGAGGTAAAAGAAGAAGAAGAAGAAGAGATTGGATTTATACCCCGCCCTTCACCTGGAGTCTCAGAGGGGCTTACAAACTCCTTTCCCTTCCCCTCCCCACAACATACACCCTGGGAGGTAAAAGAAGAAGAAGAAGAAGAAGAAGAAGAAGAAGAAGAAGAAGAAGAAGAGGAGATTGGATTTATACCCCGCCCTTCACTTGGAGTCTCAGAGGGGCTTACAAACTCCTTTCCCTTCCCTTCCCCACAGCAGACACCCTGTGAGGTAAAAGAAGAAGAAGAAGAAGAGATTGGATTTATACCCCGCCCTTCACCTGGAGTCTCAGAGGGGCTTACAGACTCCTTTCCCATCCCCTCCCTGCAACGGACACCCTGTGAGGTGGGTGGGGCTGAGAGAACTCTGACACAAACTGCTCTTTTTCAAGAACAGCTGTGCCAGAACTATGGCTTGCCCAAGGTCATCCAGCAGGTGCAAGTGGAGGGGTGGGGAATCAAACCCGGTTCTCCCAGATTAGAGTCCGCACACTTAACCACGACACCAGACTGGCTCTGTGCAGGAGGACAGAGCAGGAGGATTTAAGGGGACGCTGGAAGGTTCTCACGGCAAGAGACAAGAGGCGGCTTTGCCACCGCCTACAAGGCACTCTGCACAAACACGGCACCAAGAAACCCGGCCTCTGTTTCCACACGAAGCAGAATGTTGGGAGTGATGCACGAGAGGGACGGGACTGGGAGCGCTCTCCTCCTTGCCTCTCCCTCCAAAGTCCCTTTGAGCTCTGGCCGGGCCTGTTTTCTCTCCCTTTCCGGGGAGAGACTTTGCTTTACAATCCTATTTCAACCTTCCCCTCTCACAACCGCCAGATGCTTCCACCGTGTGGTTGTAAACTATTTAGGCCGGACACTGTCCGCCGCGGAGCCAAGGGCCGGGGGGAGCGGGGCACAGAGGCATCGCCGGCTGCGGTTTCCAAGTGCCTCCGCCTGCCGCAGCCTCCTGCCTTCGCACCTTGCAAACACGTGTGGGCGACTGCAAACGTTCCGCTGCCAGCAGGAACGTTAAATGCCGGGGGGGATGACTAAATATTAGTGTTTGTTGCGAAACACTCATTCATAATTCAGTTCCAAAACAAAGGGGAGCGGCGCGGAGGATTTAATTCATGAGCAATTAAACGTATCTGGATGTGCCCGTTCCAGATGACAGTGCATGGGGCAGGGGCGGGGGGGTAGAAGCTCCAACTCGAATCGGAGCAGCAGCTAAGTTAGCGGCACATGGCTAGGAAACGGAAGTCACCTGGGGGTGGGGGAGGTTTTCTGGCTAGAAGGTTTGCAAAACACAGGACTGTTTTCTTTCGTGTTAGAAGAGGAGAATAAAAAGGAGAACACTCCTAGAAATTAAAAATGAACTGGTATGGGGGAAGCTGGCTTATACAAAGCATACCAAACTCTGTCTTGCCTGCTCTGGCTGGCAGCGGCTCTCAGGGTGAGGTCTTTGCAATCGCCCACTCTGTGGTGGTCCTTATTTTAAAACAGGAGATACCTAGGATTGAACTGGGGACCTTCTGCATGCAAAGTAGATCCCATGGCATTGACCTACGGCCTCACTCTAAACGTCTTGCTCTGCAAACACTGGTAATAACTATGTGTTCCGTTGCCCCCCGATTTCCTCTCTAAATCCCGAAGAGGCTCATCCGTGAAGGCGTCCCTTGGCCCAGCCCTCTCCCCCTCTCCCCCACATCCCGCCACAAGTGTGAGAGATCACATTTTTAGTTATCTTTTTGCATTAAAATAAACAAACCTGCAAATAGGAAACAAGCGCAGCGGGCATAAAGCCGAGCTAGATCCTCTCTTCCTGAGGTCTACTTTATTTGCAGAGAGAGGAGCTTTAGGTTTTTTTCCCCTTACATGGTGCTGGGAGGTGCTGTCAAGTTGCAGCTGGCTTAAGGTGACCCCCGGAGGGTTTTCAAGGCAAGAGACAAGAGCCAGCTTGCCATGACTGGCTCTGAGTAGCAGCCCTGGACCTCCTTGGCGGCCCCAGCGATGGGCACAAACCACATTTCTGTGGTGCGGTTTGTGGCTGAGCTATGAACCAATGTGCCGGTTCGCGGACCGAACTGGTTCGTATCGGTCTGTGAACCATTTAAACCCCTGCTTTCTGCTCTCTACCAAAAGCAGTGGGTATTAGAACGGGTGTGTGTGTGTGTGTTTAAATCCATTTAAACCAAAGACCTGAGCAGCTCCTGAAGAGCTTGGTGAACCATGAACTGGCCAAAATTTGTGACAAACTTCAGTTTGTGGGCTGGTTTGTGCCCATCCCTAGTAGTCTCCCATTCAAGTATGAACCAAGGCCGACCCTGCTTAGCTTCCGAAATCTGATGAGACTGGGCTACCTGGGCCATCCAGTTTGGGGCTTCTTTCTTTAAGTGGAGGGTACCATTTTGAAATATTCCTATCACTACAGTCTGAAGTGGTATGGTCCACTGGGGCACATATCAATTGTCCTAAAAATTCCCTCCATTCTTGACTTGTTACCCGCACTCCCATCTCAAAGACTCCATTCTACCGACACCATAACCAAGACACTGCACTGAACCATCACTAACAGTCCCAGAGAATGCCCTAGAAAGATCTAGGAGACTGGGCTGTATGGGCAAAACTCGCACAGCTTCAGCCACCACCTTTGCCAGGCAAGAATCGGTGCTCACCTCCGTGTCTGGCCGAAGAGACCGCAGATAACTCTTCAGATCTCCCCGGGTCATGAGTTCCATGATGACCAATGTGGGCTGCCCTTGAGAGACGACGCCGAGAAGCCGCACCTGATGAGAGAAATGCTTGGGATCATATACCTTTCTACACACAATACTTTTAGCTCCGTAAATGCACTGTCTCACTCAGATACCACTGTGGTTGTGGCTGGCAAAGCCTCACCATAAACAGGACTTAGTGCACTGGCTGAGAAGGAAAGTGCAACTTGGTCATTTACTGGGAAATAAATCCCTATGGAAACTTTATATAATGTCTAGAATTGCAGATAGGATTAATGAAGAAGAAGAAGAAGAGATTGGATTTATACCCCGCCCTTCACTTGCAGTCTCAGAGGGGCTTACAAACTCCTTTCCCTTCCCCTCCCCACAACAGACACCCTGTGAGGTGGGTGGGGCTGAGAGAACTCTGACACAAACTGCTCTTTTTCAAGGACAGCTGTGCCACAGCTTGTGATTGACCCAAGGTCACATCAGCAGGTGCAAGTGGAGGAGTAGGGAATCAAACCCGGTTCTCCCAGATTAGAGTCCGCACGCTTCACCACCACACCAAATTTTCTTGTAAATTTTCTGTTAATTCTGCTATTATTTGGCTTCCTTTGCTTGAATATTTGGTACATCGGGATGTCATACCTGATATAACTGATAGTCGAAACTTGTGGTAAAACATGATTCCTCTCTCTTATAACGGTTGCGGTCTGTCGGTTGACAACTCTCTCTTTGTAACGGTGATGTATTATTTACCTTGAGCTAACTTACCTGTTACTGTTTGAATGGTTGTTTTAGTTGGTGTTTTGTATTATTTTTGGAAATTCAATAAAATTTATTTTAAAAGAAAAAGAAAAGAAAAAGAAAATAGATCCCACTGAATTCTACTGGGTGGACGTCACGCGCATGGGCACAACATCATGCTCTCAGCCGCGTGCCCGGAACGCACTTTCAGTCTGGGAATGCTCTCCCAAGGCAAGCTTCGCATTGGTTCGGAAACTTACCACGTGGTGACAGTTGAACTCCTTCATCACAGAGGCCTCGTTCAGAAACTCGATCCGCTCGCGCATGCTCGCCGACTCGTTCACCGTCTTGATGGCCACCCGGGTTTCCAGCTCGTCTTTGACCACGCCCTTCGCGATTCCCTCGTACACCATCCCGAAGGAGCCCTGCCCCAGCTCTCGGCACATGGTGATCTTCTCCCGGGGTACTTCCCACTCATCCGGGACATAAACTGCAAAAACAGCAAAGAATCGTTTCACACGAGGCTGCCTCGTACGGTATCAGACCATCAGTCCGTAAGGGTCGGTATTGTCCGCCCAGACGGGCAGCGGCTCTCCGGGGTCTCCGGCAGAAGGCTTCCACATCACCTACCGCCTGCTCCTTTTAATGAGATACGAACTTGAATTGAATTGAATCTGGGACCTTGTGCAAGCAAAGCACGTGAACCACCAACTGAGTCATGGCGCTTTCACCCATAGCTCTGAAGCAAAGCCTCAGACCTACGAATCCACATCACCTACCGCCTGCTCCTTTTAACGAGAGACGAACTTGAATTGAAACTGGGATCTTGTGCAAGCAAAGCACATGAACCACCAACTGAGTCACGGCCCCTCCCTGGCGCTTTCACCCATAGCTCTAAAGCAAAGCCTCAGAACCATGAGCAAAGCCTCAGTACTGACAGGATCCATAATTTCCTCTCCAATCACGAAACAAAACAGAAGATAAGCATATGGATCAGCATATGGAGCAGAGGTCCATTAGTGGCTATTAGCCACAAAGTCTGGGGCAAGGGATGAACTGTATTCTTGGTGCTTGGGGGGGGGCAACAGTGGGAGGGCTTCTAGTCTCCTGGCCCCACCGCTGGACCTCCCGATGGCACCTGGTATTTTTGGCCACTGTGTGCCACAGAGTGTTCGACTGGATGGGCCATTGGCCTGATCGAACACTGGCTTCTCTTCTGTTCTTATAGGAACTCTCAGTCTGGGGCAAGGGATGAACTGTATTCTTGGTGCTTGGGGGGGGGCAACAGTGGGAGGGCTTCTAGTCTCCTGGCCCCACCGCTGGACCTCCCGATGGCACCTGGTATTTTTGGCCACTGTGTGCCACAGAGTGTTCGACTGGATGGGCCATTGGCCTGATCGAACACTGGCTTCTCTTCTGTTCTTATAGGAACTCTCAGTCTGGGGCAAGGGATGAACTGTATTCTTGGTGCTTGGGGGGGGGCAACAGTGGGAGGGCTTCTAGTCTCCTGGCCCCACCGCTGGACCTCCCGATGGCACCTGGTATTTTGGGCCACTGTGTGACAGAGTGTTGGACTGGATGGGCCACTGGCCTGATCCAACACTGGCTTCTCTGATGTTCTTAAGTCCAGCGGCACCTTAAAGACGAGCAACATTTATCACAGCATGAGCTTCTGTGAGTCAAAGCTCACTTCTTCAGATGCTAAGAAGAATCCTTTTCCACACTGGGAAGGAAGGAGCTGGGGGCAGAGAGGGGCCCGGTGTGAATCCCACCATAATCTCTCAGGTGTGATTCCTTGCAGAAGGGACAAGAACGGATTAGGGTGTGACACATAATGGATGATGGGAGAGGTCAGCGGTTCTAGCCTCTCTCTCTCTTATGGGGAACAGATGAACAACAAATGCAATTGAAGAAGATAAATGACTATTCAGGGAAGCAGTCTGAAGCATATCTGACAAAGGGAGTGTAGACCAGTGTTCCCGCTAAGCTGAGTGAGTGTGAGCCAGCTCAAGGCGGCGGCGGAAATCAGGCCTCCAAAGCGGGGGTTACAGCGACCCCCCCCCCCCCCCGCCCCCACTTGGCAGCCTTAGTCTCATCTCCATTTAATTTATTTGTTAGAGATCGGTCACTCTTGAAAAAGCAACTGGGGTAACAAGCGCTAACTTTGCAAGGGGAAAAAAGCTGCTGAAATGCCCTCCTTCGTTATCTCCTTTCTATGCGCTCGACCGCTGAAAGAGGAGTCCGTCTTTCCAGCAGGTCAAGCAAAGCTGTGCCAGGTGCCACGGCTGGTTCTGCCCAAGCTATGGCCACCCCCGTTCCAAGCCACTGCTGTTTCCGGGCATCTCAAGCTACAGGAGTCACTCACCATCTGAAGCACTGAAATATTCCGGGTTCACCGACGCGTACAGAACTCCATTTCCCAGCCTGTCACTGTTCCTGTTAAAACATAAGGGGGTATTTCCTTACTTTAACACCCAGATCAGAGAGAGAGAGAGAGAGAGAGAGAGAGAGAGAGAGACCCCAACCGCACAACACTTCAGGTCTATTTTAGTTTTCTCACTTGAAGGTGTTTCACGACCTGCTTCAGGAAACACAGGCACACACGCCCCAACAGTGGCACCTGGCAGGTGGAGGTGTGAACAAGCAGCTGTTTCCTTCCTGTATATCCAAATGACTCATTTCTTAAACTGCATATTCTCCGACTAAATCACAGAAAGCCCGCAGTAGCCGCAGAAAGAAGGGAGGAAGAAGAGGAACTGGTTTGACCCCCGTTGACTTGTCTTCGCTTTGCCTTTGACCCCAACTAGCTTTTTGTTACCGTTGTTCATAGAATCATAGAGCTGGAAGGTACCTCCAGGGTCATCTAGTCCAACCCCCTGAGCAATGCAGGAAATTCACAAATACCTCCCCACCACACCCCCAGTGACCCCTGTTCTACACCCAGAATATGACAACAAACCTCCAGGATATCCAGCTGGCCTGGAGAAAAATTGCTTCCTGACCCCAAAGTGGTGATCAGCATTTCCCCGGGTGTGTAAGAAAGGGCCACAAGAACTAAGCACTGAGGCAACCCTTCCTGCCCTCCCTCTCATGTTCACGAGAGAGAGAATGAGCGAATGAAAAAACAAGGCAAAGAAAAGACTCTCCCGACTTCTATGGTCCCCAAAATCCTTCTACAGCTGGAGATGCCAGGGCAGGTGCTCTTCTAAAAGGAGCTTCAGGTTCTTTGAGGAAATAAACTGTGGTGTGCACTGAATGGATGGGCAGAGGGATAGTGCTGCTGACCACATGGCCGATCTGCAGGATTTCTATCCTGGCCTTCACTCGGATTCTCAGAGCGGCTTACAAACTCCTTTCCCTTCCCCTCCCCACAACAGACACCCTGTGAGGTAGGTGGCCCTGAGAGAGCTCTGAGAGAACTGCTCTTTTTCAAGGACAGCTCTTGTCAGAACTATGGCTTGCCCAAGGTCATCCAGCAGTTGCAAGTGGAGGAGTGGGGAATCAAACCCGGTTCTCCCAGATTAGAGCCCGCGCACTTAACCACGACACCAAACTGGTTCTTCCTCCAGCAGCACCTTAGAGACCAACAAGATTCTCGGGGTGTAAGCTTTAACCCTTGAGCGCTTATACCCCAAAAACTTCATTGGTCTATCTGACGAAGGGGGCTTTGACTATCGAAAACTTATACCTCCCCCTCCAAATCTTGTTGCTCTCCAAGGTACTACCGGACGCGAATCTAGCTCTCGTCCTGCAGACCAACACAGCTCCCCTCCTGAAACTCTTACTCTGGTGCAGAGGTCATTTCGGGGGGGATCGCAGTTCCCCCGGGTGAGGTACGGGGGCAGGGCACATGACGAAGCCCCGCCCCCTGCTTCCGGCCGCCCCGCTTCCGGCCCTCATTCAGCGAGGAGGAGGCAGGAGAAGAGGGAGGGTAAGGTGCTTCCTCCCTGCCTCTCCCCACCCCTGCCTGCCTGGGGCCAGGGAGGGCCTTCGCGGGGCTTCCTTGCACTCCCGCTGGCCTTGCAGGTCCACCGCCGGGTCCCTCATGGGGCTCGACAGTGGAGCTGCAAGGCCGGTGGCAGCGGCTGGGATCGTTGGGGGCGGGGTGTGTGGGCTTATGACACACTTCCGGTGATGTCAGGGGGGGTGGCATATGCTAATGAGTTATGCTAATGAGTCCCCCTAGCTCTTTTTCTACGAAACGACCCCTGCTCTGGTGGATCCATTCCCAGAAAGAGAAGTGGCTTCCTGCTTGCTGATACCAGTGTCGGCAGACACACGGACGGACGGATGGACACTGCGCTACTACTGGGATACGGCAATTGCCTGCAACCGGACTGGCCCATCTGCACAGTAAAATGTAGCTGCACAGGAGCGCTGCGGCACAAGGGGGTGCAATATCCACCCGCAAATGGCTGCAGCCCACCACACAAGCACCCATTCAGTACCGTGTGGTTCTCCGAAGATGGAGTGTGCAGATGGAGAGTCCATCTGTTTATTGGAAAGTGGAGTGATTTCAGATGCCAAATGATATTAGCAGGTGAATGACAACAGCAGGTGAATGACAATAGGAGGCGCGATTGGATTTTGGTGAGATATGCAGAAGGGTAACAGACGTAGAGAAATCAGCATTGGTAATGAGACAGGAAACCTAGGTCTTGATTCAGTCCAGGTGGATGCACTGTCTTGAGATTCATCATCAATTGCAACTCAGCAGTCTCTCTTTCTAAACTCCCTATTACTCCTCTGCATATCTCACTTAAATCCAGGGGTCATTTCGTAGAAAAAGAGCTAGGGGAACTCATTAGCATAACTCATTAGCATATGCCACACCCCCTGACATCAGGGGCCTGGCGGTGGACCTGCAAGGCCAGCGGGAGTGCGAGGAAGCCCCGCCAAGGCCCTCCCTGGCCCCAGGCAGGCAGGGGTGGGGAGAGGCAGGGAGGAAGCAACTTACCCTCCCTCTTCTCCTGCCTCCTCCTGGATGAATGAGGGCCGGAAATGGGGGGCAGGGCTTCGTCGTGTGCGTCATGTGCCCCGCCCCCGTACCTCACCCGGGGGAACTGCGTTCCCCCCCGAAATGACCTCTGCTTAAATCTAATCTCGCCTCCTAATGTCATTTGGCATCTGAAAGCACTCCACTTTCCCATTTATTTATATTTATTTTATTCATTTATTCGGCTTACATGGAGGCAAACGCCAATATAAAACATATATAAAACATGTATAAAACCATTTAAAATCCCAACAGTACAAAAACAATTTTAACAAGTTATTGACTAAAGTGCTCTAGGTGTTCAACATGATATTTTACAGATGGCGTATTTCAACTATTCAGCCTCATCTGCTCCAGGGAAACGCTGATGTTCCCTCATCCAGGGCCAGGTAAAGATGGAGTAATGGTGATGGTAGTGGCGGCTCCTACTCATACGCCTGGTGGAAGAGCTCCATCTTACAGGCCCTGTGGAACTGCACAAGGTCCCGCAGGGCCCAGATCTCCTCCGGGAGCTCATTCCACCAGGAAGGAGCCACCACCGAGAAAGCCCTGGCCCTGGTAGCGGCCAGCCTGGCCTCTTTGGGACCTGGGATTGCCAGAAGATATTGGGTCCCGGACCAAAGTGCTCGCGGGGGAACATATGAGGAATGGCGGTCCCTTAGGTAACCTAGGTCTACCTGTATCTGAAGAAGTGAGCAGTGACTCACAAAAGCTCCTCCCCTGCCACATATTTCGTTAGTCTTGAAGGTGCTACTGGACTCTTGGCTCTTTTCTACTGCCACAGACAGACTAACACGGCTACCCATCTTCATAGACTTGTAAGTTCAACCCAAAACCAGTTCCACTGCAAGGCTGGGTCTCACCTCTTTTTGTTGCAGACATAGAGCATTATCAGCAGGCCTCCAACGACCAGCAGGACGGCGATGGGAAGAACAATGATGAGATGCAGGAAGTTTCCATAGTCTGGCGCTGCAGCCGTCGAAATGAGAGAGACAAGAGATCGCCGTTACTATTTCAGACTGCCACCAGTGTGCGTGTACTGGCAGCTGTGTTGCCAGCCGCCAGGATTTTATGGCATTATACCCCGCAGCAGTGGCAATTCTAACAAGCAGGCAGATTTCTGCCTCAGGAGCCATACTATCCGAAATTGGAGTCAAAGGAAGCAAAGGGAGGAAACATTTATACATTTATTTATTTATTTATTAGATTTTTATCCCGCCCTCCCGCCAAAGCGGCTCATGATATACAAACACATGCAGTAGATATCTATCCCTCTCTACAGAGAGAGAGAGAGAGAGAGAAATGTAACCTCGTGGCTCATCATTTGTACCAGCCAATCAGCCTTCTCTCCAAACCACTAACTGCTTGCAAGATTTACTAGTCACCACCGAAATTGTGAACGGCCATATGGGTTTTGTTCCCACATGGAATTACCCACTACTCAGCGACAACAGACCCTTCCAATCCTCACCATCTGCACAAAATCCCGCTTCCATCCCCCCCCCCTTTTCCCCACAAGAAAAAAAGTTTTTAGAAAAGCCTTACGCTTGGGCTGGACATAGAAAGAGATGGGTTCGGTCCAGGATCCATTCCCCGAAAGAGAAGTTGCTTGGACTCTCACGGAATAGTTTCCAGGACTCAAATGCATCAGTTTGGCTCCCCCGTGCTTCTTATACTCTTGCCTGAAAATACATTCCCCTTTCTCCTGGGGAGGGAGGAGAGAGAGAGAGAGAGGGAGAGAGAGAGGACTCCTGTTGGTGTCTTGGACACGCAGGGCACTGGAACTAAAACCAGTCTATTTCTGCTGTTTCCAGAGGGTGTCACAGTCTCCTAAACTTGTGTCCACAAGCACAAGAGCTACGGGTGTGTTGATGGTTTTTCCCCCAGCATGGTGTGATCTACCCAAAGCAAAGAGCCATTCCTGGCTTTCCACCCTCTCAGTGGAGCCAAAGGTGCTTCAGAAGAACTGGGGAGGAATCACCTTTGGGTTTGTACAGCACCCGTACGGAAACATATGCCTAACACATGGAATTCACTGCCACAGGAAGTGGTGGTGGCTACAAGCATGGACGGCTTCAAAAGGGAATTAGATAAGCATATGGAGCAGAGGTCCATCAGTGGCTATTAGCCACAAGGTATAGATAGGGACTCTGGGGCAAGTGATGCTCTGTCTTCTTGGTGCTTGGGGGGGTCAACAGTGGGAGGGCTTCTAATGTCCTGGCCCGACTGGTGGACCTCCTGATGGCACCTGGTATTTCTGGCCACTGTGTGATACAGAGTGTTGGACTGGATGGGCCTTTGGCCTGATCCAACATTGGCATCTCTTATGTTCTTATGTTCTTATGTCATAAGACAATGCTTGGCTTGCAACTTCCCAATGTTTTGTGACTGGCCCCCGTCCTCCGTGGCAGCCATTTTGTAAAAGCACCCACTCCCTTGTCATGAAAATCCCAGAAACCCCCACATGACCCACCAAGCTGGGGACCACCCGCACCAGACGGTCACCGCTTGCGTGCATAGCAGTTAGTTCCAAAAATCCCTCTTTTACCTCTCCTCCGACGGGCCCGTATTTGATTTCGTATGTCAGGATCAACCCGTTGGGGCTTGGAGGTTCTGGCCACTTCAAATAAATCATGTTTTCTTCCTTCGCTTCCCACGTTACAGGTCCTGGAATGTCATCGGCTCCGGCTGTGAAAACAGACCCCAGGGGTTGATGCAATTCAGAGCAACTGCAGGATACGGCAATTGCTAGATTGGTACACTCCGAGCAACTTTTCAGTAACAGATTTTCAGTAGCAGTAAATTTTCCTGTGACCCCAAAGGAAAGCAAAAAACCCCAGCACATTTCCAAAAATGTCTCTTCTTTAACATTCTGCAGTAAGGTGTACCAGTAAGGCCAGAGGTCATTTCGGGGGGGATCGTGGGGGATCGCAGTTCCCCCGGGTGAGGTACAGGGGGCGGGGCACATGACAAATCCCCGCCCCCCGCTTCCGGCCGCCCCACTGCCGGCCCTCATTCAGCCAGGAGGAGGCAGGAGAAGAGGGAGGGTAAGTTGCTTCCTCCCTGCCTCTCCCCACCCCTGCCTGCCTGGGGCCAGGGAGGGCCTTCGCGAGCTGCAAGGCCGGCAGCGGCAGCCGGGACCGTTGGGGGCGGGGTGTGTCCTTATGACACCCTTCCGGTGATGTCAGGGGGTGTGGCCTTATGACACCCTTCCGGTGATGTCAGGGGGTATGGCCTTATGACACCCTTTCGGTGATGTCAGGGGGTGTGGCATATGCTAATGAGTTATGCTAATGAGTCCCCCTAGCTCTTTTTCTACGAAACGACCCCATCTGCACAGACACAATGGAACCCAGGTCTTGATCTGGTCATGAACCCAGGTCTTGAACTTATTCTCCCGTGCAGGAAACAAAGGCCTGTCTCTCTCCAATGCCCCCTTGACACTCCTCACACAAAGGCAGCCAAACAACACTCTTCGTATGCACTGACACTCACGGCGCAAGCAAACTCCGGGAAACCAGACTAACAAGCGCAAACCTGCAAGGAACACCAGCCCATGGGTGATCCCTTCATCCTTCAGATTATCTAAGAAGCCCTGCACAGCGATCCCCATTTATTTAAGAAAAGCAAATTCTCCCGGCTGCCAGAGGCAAGTCCCCTTCTCTGCACCATGCTGTGGGAATAAATTGCCCAACCAGCTCTGCAACATGGCGTTCACGTGGTTTGAACTGGCCTTGGTCTATGGCCAAAGTTGAGAGAGGGTCACAGCCAGTGTTCCCTCTAAGCTGAGTCCGTGTGAGCTAGCTCACAGTTTCTTAGCCTCCGGCTCACACATTTTCGTCTTTGCTCAGGGAGGAGGGCTCCAGGGCAAACTAATTGATGCAGGAGCCAAATCGCCTGCTCACAACTTCAATGCCAGCGGCTCACAAAGTAGAATTTTTGCTCACAGGACTCCACAGCTTAGAGGGAGCACTGGTCACAGCTCTACCCCCAGCCTCACACACAGATGCACGTAACCGGGAGGGAGGGGGCTGTCTTGTCTTACAGATCTTGAGAAGAGGAGGTTGAGGGGGGACGGGATGGCTCTCTTGAAGACTTTGAAGGGCTGTCCCTTAGAGGAGGGCAGGGAGCGGTTCCTGTTGGCAGCAGAGGAGGGGACTTGCAAGAATGGGTTTAAATTAAGGGCGGGAAGGTACCGGCTGGATCTTAGGAAAAACTTTTTGACAGTAAGAGTTGTGCAACTGTCGAATCAGCTGCCCAGGGAGGTTGTGAGCTCCCCCTCACTGGCAGTCTCTAAGCAGCGGTTGGACAAACACTTGTCAGGGATGCTCTAGGCTGATTCTACACTGAGCTGGGGGGGGGGGGTTTGGACCAGATGGCCTGGGTGGACCCATCCAACTCTCTGCAGAACAACAAGATCCAAGCTGGCATCCTATACTTTTTCTATCCCAATTCTGGACTACCTGGCCATTTTCTGGGCAAGGGGAGAGGGAACTCAAAACAAACAAACAAAAAAACATAGTTGCTGTAGATTTTCCGGGCTGTATGGCCCTGGGTCTTGGCATTGTAGGGCCTGACGTTTCGCCAGGCGCTGTGACTGGCATCCTCAGAGGTATAACACAGAAAGATGGAGTGCTCTCTGTGTCAAGGTGAGAAGAAAAATGGTAGGCGGGTCATTTATATCTACTCAGGAAGGTGGGGTAGGGCTGAGCCATTATCTTTGACAACGTATCAAAAAAAATGCGGGGGTGGGGGGAGGGAGAAGGGTTTCCAGCCAAGGAAAACTGTGGCTGCCCTCAACCAAAAACCTGATGGACCATCACTGCCTTAGAGGCCCTGCGGAAGTGCATCCTGCAGGGCCCTGGTGTCATTTGGCAGAGAGTTCCACTAGGTCGGGGCCAGGACGGAGAAGGCCCTGCCTCTGGTCGAGGACAGCCAGACATCCCTAGGGCCAGGGATTACCAGCAGGTTGTTATCAGTAGAGCGCAAAGCTCTCCTGGGGACATGCCAGCCAGCCAGCCAGCCAGACTGCACTTGATGAACAGGGCAGCATCCAGACATGATCGGAAACTGCCTGGCTACTGCCTTCTCTGGCCTGGATGGTAACAGTGCACTGAAGCACAGCTTTGCCAACCCACTTATTTGTGAATGTTATCATTTGCTCCATGATGCTTTGCCAGCTGGAGGTGCTTTGGACACAAATAAGAACAGATTACTTTTATTATTCCAAAAACCTGCGTTCTTAAGAAAGTCGAGCCAGCTGTACCTTCTGGCATGGTTCTGGCCGAGACAAAATTTGCAGCGCTGCAGCCCAGCGTCAGAGCTTCGTGGTTGCAGCTGTGAATGTCAATGCGGTAGACCGTGAATGGCAGCAAGTGGGAGATGACGGTCAGTTCCCTGCCTTCCACCTTGGTTTCAAAGAAGGGGTATTCGATATCGCCCTCTTCCGCATCCGACGCGTTGGCAAAGCGTTCTGGGACCGTCGCGTTCTTGCCCTTGGAGCCCAGAGTTGTGTTCGCAGCTCTGAACAGGTCCCTTCGCTTCCGGTCGTGCCTGGAAAAGAAGAAACGGCAGATCAGCGTCGCACCAAGACCAACAGAGAGACTCTGCACCCCGGAGGAACAGAAAGGAGGCAGCTACGTCTACTAGCACTGCACATGTACCGTGAAGTGAGGGGGAAAGCCTATGAAGCTCTTGGGCACCTTTAGCAAGGCAACAAACCACCTAATGAAAACGCAGATCGTTTTCTTTGGATGTTGGTAAGGAATGGTAGTCAGGTATGCTGGCATCTCAGACAGGTAGGACCAGTTCCAGGTGGTCAGACGGGTTGGTCTGAAGCAGCAGAACAAATTTAGAGTCCACTAGGGGCACCTTTTGGAGCTGGGGTGGCTCAAGTGGTTAAGACGCTGAACTGCAGGCTGTGGAAGGTCGGTAGTTCAGCAGTTCGAGACCCGAGTGTGCCGCATGACGGAGTGAGCTCCCGTCTCTGATTCCAGCTCCTGCCAACCTAGCAGTTCGAAAGCAAGACATTGCAAGTAGATAAATAGGTGCCGCTTCGGTGGGAAGGTAACAGCGTTCCGTGGGCCTTGGTGTTTAGTCATGCCGGCCACGTGACCACGGAAACGTCTTCGGACAGCGCTGGCTCTTCGGCTTGGAAACGGAGATGAGCACCGCAAGCCTAGAGTCGGACTCGACTGGCTTTCGAGCAAGGGAACCTTTACCTTTACCTTTAGGGGCACCTTTAAGACCAACAAAGGCTTATTCAAGGTATGAGCTTCTGTGTGCATGCACACTTTGTCAAAATGCATTGGAAAGGAAGCTAGAGTTCAGACTTATAGACAGAGGGTGAACAGCAAATTAACACGTGACACGACGCAGATGCTTTAAGATATTCAAAGTGAAATTAAATAACAAGCTAAGGTTTTAAGGCCAAAAGTTGTTTTGATTTAATTAAGAGGGGTCCCCTGCTTCTAGCTTCTGATCCGCTAGAATAATAGATAAGCGAGATATGATTGGGTTATGTCCAGCAAATCTTCTGGAAATGGGTCGGAGTAAAGCTGAGTAAAGCAAACTGATGAAGCGCTTTTACCCAAGATGTACAGTAACTTAAAATCTTGGCCTGGATTTGCAGCACCACCATATCTCTCTAACATTACATATGAAAAGTATCGATGGGCTTTTTCTAGAGCGTGTTTTGATGCCTTCCCCTCTAATTTACTGCAAGGAAGGTATCTGCATTGGCCTATACATCAAAGATGTTGTCTATGTGCAGATAAAGAAGTTGAAACAATCACACACATTCTTTTACATTGTAAACTCTATTTCAGAGAGAGACACCAGCTAATTTTTCCTTTACTTGCCCAATTTCAACCCTTGGAGAACTATTTGAAATTTGCAGATACTGTGCTGCTGAAATATTTGTTGGAAGATACCAAGAAGTCGGTAACTCTGGTAGTAGCAAAATATTGCTTTTTAGTAATAAATAAGCAAAAGATTTTAACAAAAAGCACAGACTGAAGAGAATTTTAGGCAAGACTTAGAATTTAGGGAATAGAATTACGATTTTAATAGGGGTCTGTGGCTGGTACTATAATGGTACTATTGTCTGTGAGTGTTGGTGATCGTACTTGTTTATTATTGTATTGTTTTACTGCACTATTGGTCAATTGGCCGTAACAATAAATTTGATTTGATTTGAATTAAGAGGGGGAAAGGACCGCCATGTAATAAATATGTCAAAATAGGGGATAAATGTGAGACGGCATCTTTTCTACTTGTGGGAAGTAAAATTAGACCAGGTTTCCCTTTTGATAAGATGCCTAAGCCTGGGTTTGTTTGGTTTTTCCCCCTTTTAGTGCAGTCTTTCCCATTTTGTCCTCCATGGTGACCCCAGAAGGTCAGACCAGAACCGAGAGACTGAAATTAAATCAAAAGAGTTTTCAGTTAAACATCAGAAAGAACTTCCTGACAGTTAGAGGGGTCCCTCAGTGGAACAGGCTTCCTCGGGAGGTGGTGGGCTCTCCTTCTTGGGAGGTTTCCAAACAGAGGCTAGGTGGCCATCTGACAGCAATGCTGATCCTGTGAACTTGGGCAGATCATGAGGGCAAAAAGAGTTGCCTCAGTGCTTCGTTCTTGTGGCCCTTTCTTACATGCCCAGGGAAATGCTGATTGCCACGGTAGGGTCAGGAAGGAATGATTGCCCTTGGGTTTTGGTAAAAAAAAAGGGGGGGGTGAGTGGTGGGAATATTTACAGGCATCTTTAAGAAAAAATAAATCACATTTCAGGTGGCAGCAGAATTCCAGCACACCGCTGTGCTCTCCGATTCCAAAGGCTGAAAACCCAAATAAATGACTTCAGTTAACAAGCAAAGCATTTTTCAAAAGCCAGGTAAATGACCCACTGAGTCACTTAATCGTTTAATAGACTGCTCAAAGGAGAAAACATGTGGAAATCTACTGGTCGCTTCATCTGTGAACCTCTTACAGATGAGGAGGTTTTCATTTTTTCAATTGGCCCTTCAAGCTGGAAAGAAACCACGGCCAAAAAGGTGCCTCAGCAGTGCCCCACCTTTCTCCGCCGTGGGGACCAAAAAAAAAAAAAGCGTACCTAGTTCTCCTCTCCTCCATTTTATCCTCACAACAACCCTGAGAGGTAGGTTAGGCTGAGAGAGTGTGCCTGGCCCAAGGTCACCCTTTGAGCTTCCTGGCCAGTAGGAACTTGGGTCTCACAGATCCTAGACCAACACTCTTAACCACTTCGCAACACTTTTTAGGGAGGGCAAAAAACCGCGGGAAGCAACTGGTACCGGAAGACTGCAAAAAGGAACCATGGAAAAGATGCTGATGCATTTGGGTGGCACACTGCCAAGCCGACCAAAAGGAGCGAAACCCAGGTTGCTGTTGCTGAAACGTGCCACGAAAGGACCATCTCACCTGGGCAGAAAGATGGTATTGTGGAGGTAGTTCTCAAAGACTTTGCGGTACTCCGCCTCCTCCTTCTCTGCTTGCTTGTCCGCCTCTGTCTTCGGACAGGTGCAGCAATGGTCTTTCTCCCCCTCGGAACCCTGCGGCTTGGTCGGCTCGGTGGCCTCCTCTGTGTCGAACGTCCCGTCAGAATGCCTCCGAATGGGGACCTTACCTTCAGAAGGAGATGAAAGATAACACAAAAAAATTGGAAGGGCTGGGACAGACAACGGAACGGCGCCAGGACAACCAAAAAGAGGAAAAAACACCACAATTTTCACACCTGGGAAAGATGGGGTGGTGGGGGCACATACAAGGCACTATGCTCAGGGCGGTTTCCCCCCGGATGCAAAGGGTTATCGAAGGCCTCCCTGGGCACTCACAAGTTGTAAACAATGTTCCCTCTAAGCTGTGGAGTCTTGTGAGCAAAAATTCTACTTTGTGAGCTACTGGGTTTATAGTTGTGAGTGAGCGATTTGGCTACTGCATAAATTAGTTTGCTCTGGTCCTTAGTCCTTCCTGGGCTAAGACAAAAATGTGTGAGCCGGAGGCTAAAAAACTGTGAGCTGGCTCACACTAACTCAGCTTAGAGGGAACACTGCTTGTAAAGGAGGCAGACAAGCGTTTAAGCTAGATCAGCGATAGAGAGCCTCGCGCAGCAACAGGGACAAAGGGGACAGTCCTCGACTCCCAGCGCCAGGAAGCGACAGCAGGGGAAAGCTTCAGCCTCCATGCCCTGTTTGTTGGCCCTCTGGCGGAACTGGCTGGCCACTGTGCGACGATGCTGGACTGGATGGACCCTCACTGCTCTGACCCAGCTGGGCTCTTCTTCTTACTTGTAGGAGCTCCAGTGCCCAAACAATGCTTGTCGGTTGTATCTCTACATGTTCTTGTGTACTATTACACATTTATACACAGTTTAAAATGCCATTCTAATGTTTTAAATGTTTTAATGCCTTGAGGGTCACCGCTCTGGGGACCATATCTGGGTGGAAAGGCGGCCCAGGGATATTTTAGATAAATTAAATAAGCAAGCGGCCGTTTTGGTCTTTCCATCACGAAAACTTGTCATGGGCCTCTCTTCCACTTATCCCATGACCGTTCAAGACCCTAGGCGACAGGCACAGTGTGATGAGCAATGTTCCCTCTAAGCTGCAGAGTCTTCTGAGCAAAAATTCTACTCTGTGAGCCACTGGCATTAAAGCTGTGAGCAAGCGATTTGGCTACTCCGTAAATTAGTTTGCTCTAGAGCCATCCTTCCTTTTTTCTTTTTTCTAAAAAATTCTTTATTGTTTAATTTAATGAAACATTCCATCACCAACACAAGCGCACAAAAATGTGGAGGCACCTTCCCCCGCCCGCAGCCTGAAGCAGTACAGTCCGTGCCTATCGCCTCATCTTCTGCCTCCACGTGGAACAATGCTCCCTCTAAGCTGTGTAGCCTCTTGAGGAAAAACTCTACTCTGTGAGCCGACTGGCATTAAAGTTGTGGGAAAGTGATCCCAAAGAGGCAGCGGGCGGCAGCGGCGGAGGTCACCCAGCTGCAGAAATCCAATGGTGGGGGGGAGCTTTTGGTGGGGGCAGTTTGGCGCCCCTAAGGGCTGGCACGCTCTAGGCGAATGCCTAGTTCGCCTAGTGAGTGAGCCGGCCCTGGCCACGAGCCCCTTGAGCTACACGACTTCCCAAAATGTGCAGTGCGGGAGGGGCCTTTTATTTATTTATTTTTTGCCTTACCGTTGGCGCAATAGTTGTGCTCGTACAGGTAGCTGTCCTGGGGCTGCTGCTGCCACCGGACGATATAGTAGGACAGGTTGCCGTTGGGGAGGGTGGGGGGCCTCCACTTCACAACCAGCTCCGAGGAGGAATTGGAGATCGAGCCAACGTCGAGAGGGATGGATGGCACTGTGGAGGAAGATACAGCAGAAAGGGAAGCATTGGAGAAAGACCCTTGCTTTCGTAAGCTGACTTGGTCCCCCCCACTGGGGAGAAAAGCTAGATAAAAGGGACAATAAAAATGAATGAAGAGATCTCCCCATCACCTTGTCGGGAGAGCCTGTCCGTCCATCAAACATGGCCATCAAATCCCCCCCACACACACTGCTGAGAAAGGGGGCCCCAAAGAACTGGTTCCACACATATCATAATGCCTCTATATAAATCAATGGTGCGACCTCATCTGGAATACTGTGTGCAGTTCTGGTCACCACACCTCAAAAAGGGTATTATAGCATTGGGAAAAGTGCAGAAAAGGGCAACTCGAATGATAAAAGGGTTGGAACACTTTCCCTATGAGGAAAGGTTAAAGCGCTTAGGGCTCTTTAGCTTGGAGAAACGTCAACTGAGGGGTGACATGATTGAGGTTTATAAGATGATGCATGGGAAAGAGCAGGTAGAGAAAGAGGTACTTTTCTCCCTTTCTCACAACACAAGAACTCCTTGTGGGCACTCCATGAAATTGCTGAGCGGTCGGGTTAGAACGGATAAAAGGAAGTACTTCTTCACCCAAAGAGTGATTAACACTTGGAATTCACTGCCACAGGAAGTGGTGGCGGCTACAAGCATGGACGGCTTCAAGAGGGAATTAGTTAAGCATATGGAGCAGAGGTCCATCAGTGGCTATTACCCACAAGGTATAGATAGGGGCTCTGGGGCAAGTGATGCTCTGTCATCTTGGTGCTTGGGGGGGGGTCAACAGTGGGAGGGCTTCTAATGTCCTGGCCCCACTGGTGGACCTCCTGATGGCACTGGTATTTCTGGCCGCTGTGTGATACAGAGTGTTGGACTGGATGGGCCTTTGGCCTGATCCAACAGTGGCATCTCTTATGTTCTTATGTTCTTACATGTGTGTTCAGTGAGGCGTCACGTGATACCTTGGGAGTGTGCAAATCAATCAATCATGCAGTGTGCTTCCAATGACGAAAATTCCAAGTCATGGTCTTGCCCAGGTGAACCAGCCCAAGTCTGCATGAATGCTCAACTGCGTGGTACTCCGACCACAGGAAGAATCTCAACCACATTCCACCTGAGTCAGCAAATCAATGCTAAAACTTTTTTGTGTGCGTGTGTCTGTGTGTTCCTTGTTTCCATCTCTACAGAATCATCCGTGCTCTGCATCTCTGAATCAACGGAGATTGCATGCGACATCACGACTTCTGGCTCCCGAGGCAGAAAAGCCTTTTGCCCGCCCCCACTCCATTATAAATTGCCAGAGTGCCGATTAACATCCCGCTGGGTGTCCTCGCTGACTGAGAAGCAAGTCCTTCTGGGAGCGCCAACGAAACAACTGGAGTGGCATCCCAGAGACCGGGCTTGGAGCCACGGCCTACCTCAGCCAAAACATTTCGATCTAGCACCCATTTTGAAAAGAGCATCATCGAAAGCATCAACACCCCCCCATCCAAATTATCTAAAACCAGGGGTCATTTCCTGCAGGAGCACACAGGAACGGAGCTCCGGCAGTAAAGAGCCCAGGGGCCAGAGTGCCGATTAACATCCCGCTGGGTGTCCTCGCTGACTGAGAAGCAAGTCCTTCTGGAAGCGCCAACGAAACAACTGGACTGGCATCCCAGAGACCGGGCTTGTAGCCACGACCTACGTCAGCCAAAACATTTCGATCCAGCACCCATTTTGAAAAGAGCATCATCAAAAGCATCAACACCCCCCCCCCACATCCAAATTATCTAAAACGACACTAGGTTCAAAGTGTATTTTTTCTACGAAATGACCCCTGTCTAAAACGACACTGGGTTCAAAGCGTACGGGCCAACTTGCTAAATCAGCACCATCGCAGTGAGACACAAAACCTTGTGTGTCTTCACACTAAAGGCGGCCATAATGCATCCCCCCCCCCTTCTACCTGCAGCTTTGGTTCGGATGTAGACGATCTCACTCTTCGCGCCTTGAGCGGGGTTGTTCTCCATCATGGTCAGCGTGACCGCCTTGACGTAAATGGCATACTGAGTCCACGGCTTTAGCGGCTGCAGTAAAATCCCAGGATTCTCGTCTTTGCCGGCGGGCAGGTCGACGTCCACCATGTTCCAGCTGTTGGAACCGCAAGCGTCCTGCCCGTCGTACTCCGTCACATTCTTGAAGGGCCTGAAACGGGGAATGCCAAAGAGGCCGCAGATTTTATTTCCTTGTAACCAAGCTGCTCTTAAAACTTTTAAAGGGTGGGCTGAGAGACTCTCATACCGGCTTCTGCCCTATGAAACTGATTTATACAGAAAGACAGGATGGAGAATGCCACTGCGTATGGCCAATAACCCTAGGAAAAGTTGAAGGCATGAGGAAAGGAGGACGTTCCAGCGTGAGATGGATGGACTTCAATAAAGGCATTAAGCAAGGCTGTTAATGACAGGACAATTCTGGTGGTCAGTAATCCACAAGATCATCGTTGGAAGGGACTTGAAGGCACAGAACGCACACACACACTCAAAAAAATTCAGCATACAAAGCCTCAGCTGTTACCAGTGTTCCCTCTAAGCTGAGTTTGTGTGAGCTAGCTCACAGTTCTTTAGCCTCCAGCTCACCCATTTTTGTCTTAGCTCAGGAAGGCTGGCTCCAGAGCAGACTAATTGATGCAGTCGCCAAATCGCTCGCTCACAGCTTTAATGCCAGTAGCTCAGAAAGTAGAATTTTTGCTCACAAGACCCCACAGCAATGTTCCCTCTAAGCTGTGGAGTCTTGTGAACAAAAATTCTACTTTGTGAGCTACTTGCATTAAAGTTGTGAGTGAGCAATTTGGATCATGCATAATTTAGTTTGTTCTGGAGCCATCCTTCCTTAGCTAGGACAAAAATGTGTGAGCCGGAGGCTAAAAAACTGTGAGCTAGCTCACACTAACTCAGCTTAGAGGGAACACTGCTCCACAGCTTAGCGGGAGCACTGGCTGTTAATGAAAGACAAAGAAATCTCAGATGCCAGCTCTTCCTTCTTACAAATGGCAGGTTCGAGAAGGTGCTTTCTGCTGTCTCTTGGGGGCAACAGTTCCATGCAACCAGCAGCCAAGGAGAAATCAAAATATGAAATCAGGCTCTCCCTTTCGCATCATTTCTTGGCCCGCACTGTTCCCTTTAGCGCGGAAATGAAAATGACTGGCAAGATGTCCTGGGCTAGAGGACGTAGCAATAGCCACGGGCATAGGCCGCTTTAAAAAGAGATCAGACTGATAACATAAAGGATAGGTCGGTCTATCAGTGGCTACTAGCTCTGGTGATTAAAGGCAACCTCCACATTCACAGGGAGTAAACCTCTGGTGCCAGGAGGCAACATCAAGGGAAGGCCTCGGCCTCTATGCCCTGTCGTTGGGACACCCAGAGGAAGTGGCTGGCCACTGTGTGCAGCAGGGTTAGCCCTGGTTAGTTTTTGGATGAGAAACCACCAAGGGAGTCCACGGTTGCTACACAGAGGCAGGTAATGTCAAACTACCTCTGTTCGTCTCTTGCCTTGAAAACCTTTAAAGAAACAACTGGACTTGCATCCCAGAGACCTTGCATGTAGCCACAATGTTCCCTCTAAGCTGTGGAGTCTTGTGAGCAAAAATTCTTCTTTGTGAGCTGCTGGCATTAAAGTTGTGAGCGAGCGATTTGGCTACTGCATAAATTAGTTTGCTGTGGAGCCCTCCTTCCTGAGCTAAGACAAAAATATGTGAGCTGGAGGCTAAAAAACTGTGAGCTAGCTCACACTAACTCAGCTTAGAGGGAACACTGGCCACGACCTACCTCAGCCAAAACATTTTGGTCTAGCACGCATTTAAAAAGAGCATCATCGGAAGGGTTGCCATAGGTTGGCTGCAACTTGACAGCATTTTCCACCACCAAGTTTGTAGCCATTTTAACTCTTCAATTCGTCTTACACACACACACACACACACACACACACACACACACACACACAAACGTCTTGACATCATCACTGTCCACCAAGACCATCTTCAGGAACAGCCTATGGTTTAAAAAAATAACAAATGAAGCCTCCCCCCCCTCCCCTTTTGCTTCCACCAGGACTGCCCTATGAATTCAGGCGCTGTGCATCATTTGCGCAAATATGCATGCAAGAGTGCATAAGAAAGATGATTCGGGCAGAACGATGATGTTATTAGGACAGCCAGCTCATTTTCTCTCCTGCTTCGAATAGCCCATTCCCATCAAGAGGATTCTCCCTCCCAAACTCAGGACACTCAGACAGCCTCTGCACCCCGGAGGACCATCCAAACGTATCTAGGAAGCGACAGCGGCATTAATGCCTCTTCAGCAGCACCTTCAAGCTACATGCAATACAAACATATCCAAGGAGAGCTCCTCTCCACACACATAACAGGGCAAGGCAGTGATCTAGTTGTAAGATACACAAAAGCTGAAGGCATGCAGGGCCACCGAAACAGTTTCCAGGCTAGAAAGAAAAGACCCAGGAAGAGAGAGTATTAAAAGGAGACGTCTGAGTCGCTAAAAAGAGAGAGAATTCCTGCAAAAGGGGAACTGGAAGGGGAAGCAAAGTAAAATATGAAAAGTAAAAAATAAGGCAGGAGCCAGGGACTTCCAGAAACGAAAACTGGGTTACACTTCTGAAATCAGCAAGAAAAAAACAAACCCCCAGATTTTATTGATACAGAGAATGCTTAGTACAAGAAGACAAAGATGATCCCTAAACGAGGAGAGAAAAGATGGAGTTGAGAATAGAAATGTGATGAACTGGGGAATTGGGAACAAGAAACATTCATCTTCCCGTTCCCCGTTGTGAGGAAATTTAGAAATGAACTCAGGGAAGGGCGTTATATAAATTGAATTTATAAATGAAATAAACAAAAACAGGAAAAACTGGAGAATATTAGGGGAAGCGTGCCCGGCGTGGTCGCGTCACTTCCTGGTGACATGCACGTCGGGGTGAGTTCCCCCTGGGGCCCGATCCGGCGGCGGCAGGGAACGGGCCTCTGGGGCGGGGTTTCCCCGCTCCCCGGGAAGACTTGGCAAGCCTATGTTAAAGCCCTAAAATAAGTTTAGGCTGCATAAATTAAAAAGTACTGCATAGATTTCAATTTTGGGTTTGTTTGTTTTTTTGCAAAACTCACACACACACACACATGGGGGGGGGGAAATAAACCAGAAGGAGGTAGAGTTCTTCTTCTTCATGGCTTCAAAACTTCTGGAAATGTTACATTTCTAGTTATGACCAAAGCCTCTACAAAAGGAACAGTAGCACAACACAAAAAGTGTTGGGAGAGAATGACGACTACAGGCCTTCAGATAAGAAGAACAAACAGGGAAAGGACTTTGGAGAAAAAGTAAAATCTTAAACCCCCCACCCCCCCCAAAAATGCTTACAAGGTTGTAAGCGATGAAATTAACATTTAAAAAAGCCCGTTTTGATGAGCAGTAAACATCCCATTGTTCTTTTACTAGAAAGCAGCAAGGAAAAGGGGGAAAAAACCTGATGAAACCTTAAGGCAGCCCCTTTCCACTTGACTGGAGGGTGGCGTGGTTTAGCCCGATCGCATCAGATCTGAGAATCTAAGCAGGGTCAAAACTTGGATGGGAGGCTCTGCAGCAGAAGGCATGGGCAAACCACTTCTGCTCAAAAACCACCTCTGCTTCCAACTTGACTTGAAAAGCCCCTTGCTGGGGTCGCTGACAGCACTGAAGTATGTTCTACTCCAGTGGTGGCGAACCTATGGCACGGGTGCCAGAGGTGGCACTCAGAGCCCTCTCTGCGGGCACACGTACCATCGCCCCAGCCAGGCCCAGACCGTCATTAAAGTGTGGAATTCTCTGCCAAATAATTTTAAGTAAATGAAAGCATTTGGGATTGCGTTCCTTACTTTGTTTGGATCATCTTAAGTTAATGTATGAGTTGTTTTTTCTCAAGTAAAACCTCAGTATTCAGGTTAAATGGCCGTGTTGGCATTTTGCGATAAATAAGTGGGTTTTGGGTCGCAGTTTGGGCACTCGGTCCCTAAAAGGTTCGCCATCTCTGTTCTACTCAGTCAGGGGCCAATCACCCCCCAAAGCCATAGCCCCCACCACCAATGACATCCACAGGGTTTCCGAGACAAGCATACTTACGCTTCTTTGTAATAAACGGTGAAGCTAATAAGATCTCTGTAGTCTTTGGGGCGATAGTATTCCCACATGAGCTTGATCCTGTTCTTCATGGTGGTGTTGGAGACAAAGTGCAGAATCTGGCTTTCGCCTGCAAACAAGCCAAAAAAAAAAAACACAACCCAAAAAAACAGCATGTTCACTAAAGCAACCACTTTTTTTGACGCTGGGATGGTTTGTGTTTTGGAAAGGAGGCTTCATAGAGTTTGGCGGAAGGAGTACCCGGGCAGGGGGGAAGGTCAGAACCACAGACAACAACTGGAAGAGTTTTGATTACGTTTAGCTGGCACTCAGGAAACTGAGGGGGATCGCCATGTTTTCATGGTGGAGGGCAGGGCTATTTTTGGGCTGGAACGCACAGGAACGGAGTTCCGGCTGGCTCCCAAGTTGGCCACGCCCAGCAGGAACCCATTAGCATAACAGGCCACACCCAACAGCAGAAACTCATTAGGATTGGCTACATTAGGGGTGTGTGGCCTAACATGCAAAAAGCCCTGGGTTTTGACAACAAACAAGGTAAACAGAATAACAAGCAACAGGTGGGTGTGGCTGGATAACCACACTTCTGGTAACATGGGGGTGCGGCCTAATGCGCTAATGAGCTGTGCTGTCAGGGGTGTGGCCCAATAGGCTAATGAGTTCCTGCTGTTGGGTGTGGGCTATTATGCTAATGAGTTCCTGCTGGGCTTTTTCTACAAAAAGATCCCTGGTGGAGGGCATTTTCTCCAAGCTGGCCAATGACCGAGGCACTTTGTTTTCACGTAAGACCTGCCCTGCTGGACCAAACTGGCGGTCTATCTACTCCTACATCCTATTCCACACAGCGGCCAGCCGGTTCCTCTGGAGGTCCAGCAACGGGGCATAGAGGCCGAGGGCTTCCCCTGAAGTTGTCTCCTGGCACTCTGACTGCCTCTCGCGAAGGAAGTTCCTCTTTCGTCACCAGAGGGCTCGGCCTACTTGCTCACCGTCCCTGAGGGAGTGTGGCTTGAACTGGGCCCAGGCCTACGGTTAGGTGACCGCCTGAGGCCGCACATCAACTGACCTGAGTCTGTTGTTTTTCTCTCCCCCCCCCCTTTACACTGTCTAAGGAAAAATGACAGGTGTGAAGGAGCTCTCCGATGTTAATTTACATTACTACTTCGTACCAAAGTTTCTCAGCCAATGCCACAGCAACTAAATACGGCTTGGCTGGACACGCCTCAAAAAGGCGCCGCAAAGAGGGTGGGCGGGGAGGGTTGCCTCAGTGCTTAGTTCTCCTGGCCCTTTCTTACATGCCCAGGGAAATGCTGATCGCCACTTTGGGGTCAGGAGGCAATTTTTCTCCAGGCCAGTTTGGCTGGGGATCCTGGAGGTTTTTTACCATCCTCTGGGCATGGAACAGAGGTCACTGGGGATGTGAGGGGGGAGGTATTTGTGAATTTCCTGCACTGTGCAGGGGGTTGGACTAGATGACACTGGAGGTCCCTTCCATGATTCTCATCTATCAAAGTCAGTATTCTTCCACTCGGACTGACAGTGGCTCTCCAGAGCCTCAGGCAGAGGTCTTTCACATCACCTACTATCAGCTCCTTTTTAAACTGGAGATGCCGAGGATTGAACCTGGGACCTTCTGTACACAAAGTAGATGCTCAATTACTGAGCCATGGCCCCTTCCCCAGGCCCACTGCTCTTGGAATGTCGAGAGCTGCTGAGAATTAGCTAGAGGGTGGGGGGGAAGGGGGAAATTGTCCTCCTCAAGCTAAAAGGGGGAAGATTTGGGTAGGAAGGGATATCCCAAATACAGCTCTCACCCACCCATGTAAACCATCCATTCATCATGGACCCCCAACTTTTTATATCTGTCTTATTGCAAATGTAGGAATCTTTATCCCGAGAGTTTACCCGCGTGGATTCCCTTGCCTTCTTCCACCAGCAGATGAAGACTTTTTTCATTTTGTTTGGCATATTTTTAGCTCTGTTTTTAATTGTTTTAATGATGTGTGGGTTTTTTTATGGTGGTTGATTTTAATGCTTTTAAAATGTGACTTCATCGCATCTGCTTTAATTTGCTAGCTGCCTTTGTGGCCTCTTTGAGGGCAGAAAAGCACTTCATAAATGCTGTAAAATAAAAAAACCAGAGTGGCACCGCTTGCTCACGTACAGGAGGCTCTCTCCCCGTTGTTCCTCGAGTTTATGTCCCCTTTGCCTTGCCGACCTTTGGTTCCTGTAACCTCCTCCATCCGGTGAATCTCAGTCGTGCAAAGTCTAGGGTTAAAAGCGAAGTACATTTTCCCCTCCCGGATAGTCAGGTTGTGATGGCTCCAATCCCACAGCTGCTGTAGATTTTGGTTGTCCAACACATAAAATGAGTAATTCCTTTAAAAAAACAACAACAACAGAGAGAGAGGGAGGGAGGGAGGGAGAGAGGGAGGGAGAACATTGCAAAGTACAGTGAGTGCGTACCAAAACTTCAACACCTTTTTCCGGTGTCTGTCATTTGCACTACTGTTCCCTCACCCCCAAATTATGCAATTCTCCCCACGACAGAAAGCCAGACACCTCCAGAGATGTCTTTTTAAACCCTTTTCGGGGGAAATGCTGCAAAACCCACTCGTTTATTTATTCGTACCTCTCTCCCCAGCTGGGACCCAAAGCAACTTACGTCATTCCCCATTCCTCCATTTTATCCTCACAACAACCATGTGAAGCAGACTGTGTGGAGAACACGTGACTGGCCCAAGGTCATCCAGCAAGCTTCTGTGGCAGAGGCGGGATTCGAACCTGGGTCTCCCAGATCCTAGTTCAACATTCTAACTGCTGCTACCCCATGTTGGCTCCCCTAACACTTATACTTGGGGAGAACGGACTTCCCTGAAAGCTAAAACAGGAGATGGATAGGTCGCACACGTCACAGGCTTCCCCAAGGAAATGAATACGCCTAAAGTCCATTTGTATGCTATTCTGCCACCAGCTCTGGTGTTTGCCAATGCAAAAGCCCCACATTTACAGTTCCTTAAGTGGCTGTATAACAGGGGTCCATGCTACTCAGCCCAGGAAACACCGTTCGCGGGAAGGGCGGGGTATAAATGCAATGAAATAAAAACAAAACAAATAAAACCGCACCCTAATATCCTTGCAAGTGCCTTGCAAGAGCCTCATCCGATCACCTATGGCAAGCAAAGCGTTGCCTCTAGGCGATCAGGCAGGAATCTCAAACACTGTTGTCCGTCTCCTCCCCCCCTGCCCCTTTCACCCACAAATGTGTGCTCAAGTAAAACATTCATTTACAAACGTCTTGCAAAGTACAAGAGGCCTTACTGTTAAACATTGCCACCAGCCTAGCACTGGTGGAATGGAGCTTCCCACCGCCTTGGAGTTGGGGGGGGGGAGAAGGAGGGAGAGGGAGCAGGCCTCGAATAAATATGCCAGGCTGACAAGCTTGAGAACTCCCGCCAGCTGCCCCGTTTCATTGGTCAGTGGGGTCAGAAGATCACAGGTTCTCACGCTACAGAAGGAAGGATGCAGAGGGGGGAGCCGTACCTTAGGAGGGAAGGCTCAGTACCCGCTTGGCTTGCACAAAACCCCCAAATTCGGCTCTCCACCTAAAGAAGGTTTGGTAGCACGGCTTGGAAACATCTTTGCCCGCACTCTCAGGTACTCACTGGAAGACAGAGACAACTGTACCGGGCAAGGTGGCCGAGTGGTACGACTTTGCGCTGGGCTTAGTTCACACGTTGGCTTTTAGGTTTCTGCATCCTGCAGCCACGAATATATACGGGATAAAAGTCAAGCTAGAGGCGGTGGCTTCATTCTGGGCGCTGCTCCATTCCGCGGACCACTCGCACGGGGGTCCCTTCTACCAACCTCCCAGGTGCACCATCACCAGCAAACTGGCGTCGGCATCGGGGTAGGCTGGGTCCGAAGCAAAGCGGCGTCTTTGCCCACGCCACTTTCCGCTAGATCCAGAGGCACAAAGGCCAAGGTTATTGAAAAGAGAACGTGGGGTGCTTTGTCCATTTAAAGGAAAGTGACGTCCGGAGCTGCCCTTTCCAACTTTGCTCCGTTACATTGTGGAATTTTAAGAATTTAAAGCTCACCAAAGCGGAGCCTGAGAAAAAAAGGGAGGCTTTGCCGAAGACACCCTCCCAGGCTGCAGCCTAATCCTTTCGAGCCAGATAAATCAGACCCACGGACAAGCTTTCCCACGGCCCTCCCGCTATCACCTTGCTCGGCAAACAGCCAGGCCCAAATTCTTGTTTATCGACTGTTCTCACCACTTCTATCTGAAACGGAATTTGGTGCCGGGAGGGAGAAGAATTGCAACTTCCCTGAAAAATCCTGCACCAAGAAAGGAGTTCAAACCTACATGGAATTCACGGCCACAGGAGGTGGTGGCGGCTACAAGCATGGACGGCTTCAAAAGGGAATTAGATAAGCATATGGAGCAGAGGTCCATCAGTGGCTATTAGCCACAAGGTATAGATAGGGGCTCTGGGGCAAGTGATGCTCTGTCTTCTCGGTGCTTGGGGGGGCCAACAGTGGGAGGGCTTCTAATGTCCTGGCCCCACTGGTGGACCTCCTAATGGCACCTGGTATTTCTGGCCACTGTGTGACACAGAGTGTTGGACTGGATGGGCCTTTGGCCTGATCCAACACTGGCTTCTCTTATGTTCTTATAGGAACTCTCGGTCTGGGGCAAGGGATGCTCTGTCTTCTTGGTGCTTGAGGGGGCCAACAGTGGGAGGACTTCTAATGTCCTGGCCCCACTGGTGGACCTCTTGATGGCACCGGGTGTTTTTGGCCACTGTGTGACACAGAGTGTTGGACCGGATGGGCCTTTGGCCTGATCCAACACTGGCTTCTCTTATGTTCCTATAGGAACTCTCGGTCTGGGGCAAGGGATGCTCTGTCTTCTTGGGGCTTGAGGGGGCCAACAGTGGGAGGGCTTCTGGTGTCCTGGCCCCACTGGTGGACCTCCTGATGGCACCTGGTATTTTTGGCCACTGTGTGACACAGAGTGTTGGACTGGATGGGCCTTTGGCCTGATCCAACATTGGCGTCTCTTATGTTCTCATGTACATGATTCGTTTAAAAAAAATAAATGCAAGATTGGTCCCATTAAAGCAGAACGGAGGTACACCTTGTCCAGCGCCCTGCTTCCAACGGCAGCCAACCAGATGGTTCTGGGCGCCACCGCTCTGCCCGCACACCTGACATTCAGTGCCACGGGAAACTCTGTATACAATGGCCCAAGCAGACAATTATGTTGCCAAATCCCCCTTCAACAGCCACCCGTGCACCACTGTGACCACCACCTAATAATGCCCGGTGAGCTCCTGCTTTTACTTCCTTACGATAAATCAGCCGTGACCTACCAACTGGCTACTTCCCCTCTCTCCACCCCAGTTTTCTCCACCTCCCTTAAGTCCTCAGCCATTGATTCTGCCTCTGTCAAAAAGCAGACGGGCAAGTCTTCGGTGGGAAATGCCTACATTTTATTTGTTTCATTAATTCATTTGTGCTTGGCCTCTCTCTCCAATGGGGACCCCAAAGCTGTTTACCTTGTTCTCTTCTCCTCTGTTTTTCGCCTTGCAACAACCCTGTGAGGTAGGTTAGGCTAAGAGTGTGACTGACCCAAGGTTCACCCAGCAAGCTTCCATGGCAGAGGGGGGATTCGAACCTGGGTGTCCAGATCCTTGTACAACACTCTAAACGCGAGCCTTCACTGACTTCCCTAACACTTCCACTTGGAGAGAACTGTCTTCTCTAAAAGCGAAGACTGGAGACAGAGACAGCAATTCTGACTCCCCGGGAAGTGCTTTGGTCCAGGGACAGGAGCAATGGCCAGAGACATCTTAGCTGTGCCCCTGCCTTAGGCAGCTTTTTCGGTCCCGTGCTACAATATACACCGGGGTGTGTGCAGGGCCGGCCCATCATAGACAATTTTTAGGCAGCAGCCTAGAGCAGCCCCTTAAGAGGGGGCGCCCCCAGATGTTGCTTGTGCGATTGTGACGCTGGTGGAGCAGCTTCCCAGAATGGAGGGCTTAGGGTTGCCAGCCTGCAGGTGGGACCTGGAGACACTCCGCCCCCCCCCCCCCAGGCATTACAGAGATCAGGTCCCCTTGAGGAAAGGCATGCATTGGACTCGGCTGAGCTGCCTCCTCCCCAAATTCTGCCTTCGGCAGACTCCCTCACGTCCCCCAGTCCCCAGGAATTTTCTAACTCAGAGTTGGCAACCCTGTTTAGACTCCAGACGCTGGAGGAAGCCAGAAACTCCCGGCTTTGTTAATGGCCCTGCTGTTGATTCATTGATGTTTTTATGTCTACAGATTGTATTACCGTGCTAATTGTTACTGTAGAACCAGATCAGGAGCAAACACTGGGACTGTGGGCTTTCAAACCCCTAAAGGGTTCTTCCTAAAATGCATTTAATGTTTGAAAATTGGTGGGTGCACCGGGGTGGGGGGGTGCCAGAAGGTAGCCTTGCCTAGTGTGCAAAAAAACCTGGAGCCGGCCCTGGGTGTGTGTGTGTGTGTGTGTGTGTGTGTGTTGATTTGCAACCACTTCAAAATAATTTTCCAGGCCCAAGACTGCCAGAGGTAGCAGCACCAATGCTATCTGTGCTGTGTGTGTACAACAGTAAAAAAATAATCATCATCATGTTTCTTCCGTGCATGCTCTACAATGTAGTGTCTTGAGACAAAGGGTCGGATCCAACCAGTTTTTACACCGGTGTAAGTGGGAAGAGGAAGTCCCCCTTTGCCCATCAAAAAGGTTCTAGTCGTCCCTGACCTGGATAGCCCAGGGAAGCCCGTCCTTGTCAGATCCCGGAAGCTAAGCAAGGTCAACTCTGGCAAGTACGTGGATGGGAGACCTCCAAGGAATACCAGCAGTTGGGAGGCGGGGGCAGGCTTTATTCAGCCGCCTCTCTGAATATCCTCCAGGCCCCCAGTAGAGGTCAGTCACCAGAGGTCAACGTGTGTGCAGACACACACACACATGCACGCACCCCCCCCCAAAAAAAAAATACCAAAAAGAGGGCTCTGGTGGAAATCGCAGGAACTGTATGAGCCTACAAACAAGCATGGTGGGAGAACTGTTAGGGGTAGGTGAACTGGTCAAGATTTGGCTGGATCAAAGTGATTTTTAAACATGTTCAAGCTTTTCTTCTTCTGCCGTGGCGTGGGACGTTTTTTCAGGCATCACATTTTCAAGTTTACAGGCAAGACGGCTTAAGCGCATATCTATGATACTGCATCTGTATGCCATTAGAGGTTCGATTGGATACTGCGTGAGTGGGGAAATGCGCCTCACGAAGAGTCGCGAATCGAGAATTCGGTGTTTGCCACAAATCCTGGTCGAGAAACTGGATTAAGTTCAGGCAAGAAGCCATGACATTGGGAGACGAGGAGTATTCGGAGACCAGAACCATTTTAAACCTCTGCAGAATTGGCTGTGGACGGATGCAGGGTCAGGTACTGAGGGAAGCTGTCAGTCATGTTGGGGTCCAGGAGGTCCATGGACATCAGAGAAGAGGTACCAGAGCTTGAGGTGATCATCAGTACAGGGACACAAGACGGAGTACAGGGACACAAGACAAGCATACAGAGCAGAAGTCCATCAGTGGCTATTAGCCACAAGGTATAGCTAGGAACTCTCAATCTGGGGCAAGGGATGCTCTGTATTCTTGGTGCTTGGGGG